AGCGGTTCATGCAGCTCTCAGCTGTTTTGGGCTGTACTGTTTCCTGTGGCTCCCTGTAATGTGAGGGTCAGCGCACAGTGTTGGCCATGTGAGCAGTTTTAGTGACAGCTGCCTACTTCCAAGTAATAATCTATCCTGGGGATCCTACTGTCCTTTCCACAGGATGTGATGCATCATTTAATAGTAGATTGTATTAATCTACTGTTAAAACAGTGCTTTTTGTTTCTTTCATTTTAAAGATTCTTCTGACCAATCAAGTTGCTTGGAAATTAACCTGAGCAGGAAGGGGAAGAGGAAATAAGTATAAAATATCTTTCCAAAACACATGCTCCTTTTCAATCAAAACCGGCAATAGACTGATCTTTGTCTAACACTGTGAACTAGAAGAAAAACTATGACATTAAGACTTATATTCCTTGAACAGCACTATTAGAACAATTGGTATTTTTTACTATATTGGTATATAATGTCTTAGGACCCAAATCATTCATTCAACACATTCCGCTGGTTTAAATGGAACTACTTTCAGGCTTTACATCAAGATTATGGCCCCCAGGGTTCTGGTTTTTTGTTTTATGTTTTTTGTACTACAAGAACACTTTGAATAACATCAAAAAATACTAAAGCTATGTCTTGTTTTTTTCCATTGCTGTATAAATAGAGCCTGTCGATAGTTTAGTATATCAGCCAAGCAGTTCTGCATGCTGTGGATCTGTAAAGTAGTCCTTGTAGTGTAGTCCACTCATAAGGTGGTTTATATTACGTATCATGCTTCGGAATAGTCTTATTATTTTAAACTGCATGGATTCCTTACACTAATTCCTCCCACTTTTCAATAAATTATGTCCATCTTTATGCTTTCAAAAGTATACAGTAAGTACATTGTGTACCAGCATTTAATTGAAATGAAATAGAAGAATGTGTTGTCTTTAATAAGTATTTCTAACATGCAGGATGCTATAATTCATATAGGACTAAAAAGACTTGAACCAGTATTTTCAAAAATAAGCACCTTACAAATAAGATGAGAGTATTTAGCTACCTAAACATGTGGCCTGGTTCTGAGATGCGTTCACCTTCGACACTGGAAAGAAATTAAGTCTGTTATCTTCTCGATATATTAAAAAGTGAGGTTGCTAATACAAGACTTTAATTGTGACATTATGAGCTTAATCTTAGGCATCTATGTATTTCTTAAACCTTCACTTACAGACTTTAAATACAGCCTATAAATATTAATTTTGTTACACAATAACATTAATTGAGTAGAACTTATTTTCCATTTTGCACGGCTTCCATTAAGATCTGTTTTCTCTGTCTAAGTATTTATATTTTGTAATACTTATCTTTCATAGGCCATTAGGATCCGAAAATCTGCTTCTTAGAGGAGCCACCTTAAAGAACACAGAAAAAATCTTTGGTAAGTGTCTGCATTGATTATTTGAATGGCTCCTGAAGAAATAACCAAACACCAAACAAGGTTAAAAGTCTAGAACTATTACTGAGCGCACAATTTCTATTGAATCTTTTGATTTACAACTTTTTTACAGGTTTTACTGTTGCCATAATTACAGTATAGCAGCTATTACTGATATACAATGACAATGACTCTGGGCTTTTTGGGAGGGGAGATTTATAGTTTAATCTTCAAGGATTAGTGAAGACAACTTAAATTTTTTGTGTCAATATATGTCTTTTGAACAATCACTGTGAAATAAAGTGTTGTCCCAATGGCACTTAATGAGCCTGTTAAGAAATGTTAAATCTCTTTTGCTCACTTGTCAAAGCAGAGAGATTCCCGATGGAGTATAAATATGGCTGATCAAAAAAAATCAAGTTAAACAGTTTCTGACTCAAAATTATTTTTTGCACTAGACAGTGTATTTTATGTGTATGAATTGTCTTCCTTCCACGAAAATTTTGAATATTTTAGCAGAAGTAGGAAGCATGGAATTAAATATATTCTGCAAGAAAACCTGCTGGGAGTAGTAGTTCCGTTGTGTCAAGCCACTCTTTGCTGGGAATGAAAGGGACAAGGATACAAATCATGGGCATCCACTATTGTATATTGCTTCCCTTCTGAAAGAAAAAAGATCATAAATAGCAATGAACTACTCAGCCTAGAATATCAAAATCTTGCAGTTTCTTCTCCAAAAATAGTGTAAAAAGTATATATTCATTTAAACTTGCTCTCTGCTTTTAATTGTCCTCTAAAATAGGTGAACTAATATATTTAGTTTGTAGTAAGTATTTCTATACATTTGAGAAGGTAGTTTTAAAATCTGAGTTAACTTGTATATCAGGCTGATAACTTGTGTATACAAGCTGCCTATATGTGAGTGGTTGTTTCTGGTTTGCCTAACATGTGCAATGTTTGCCATTACCCCAACACAGTCCACTTCCAAAATTATATTATTTTAGTAAGGTATAGAGGCGCTGATTTAATATGTGCTTTAAATTAATCTTCTTGTTTACAGCTGCTTTTAGTTGTTGTATTTAATCTTCTGAGGTTTAGTCTCCAATCTATATTGTTAAAAGGGATAGGGTAGTACCAAAAGATGTAACAGTTCTTTTCATGACTGATTAGGTTTTCCTGAAGAGAGCAGAATCGGTGGTCTTCCATTGTTCTTCTTGGGTGTATCTTGTAGTTTAACGCTATGATGAATTGTCTTTCATAACATATGACTTAGATTCTAAAATTAAAGCCAAAAAAATAGAGCTTAGAAAGTCTGGCTGGTTTATTTGAAGCTCATGTTTGATTTGGCTTTGATACATATCAGAGAACATTCTAGGAATTGGGAATTGTGAATTTGGAATGGGATATAAATGCTTTTTAATATTCCTCCCTAAAAACCAAAATTTTAAAGCCATTTCTAGTTTTTGAGTATCATCCAGATCTGTCTTCTTTTTCTTCAGACTATAGCGACTTAGAGAAATGATGGGGTATAGCAATCTAGTGAGTTGTACTTTTATTAAAGAAGTTATCATACTGTGTAGTCTTTATTAAAGCAGGTTTTCTGATTTTAGGTGTTGCTATATACACCGGCATGGAAACTAAGATGGCCCTAAATTACCAGGCAAAATCACAGAAACGATCTGCTGTAGAAAAGTAAAATTTCTGATATTTATTTTGGGGGTGGAAAACTGCATGTTTGCCTGGGGGGAAAAGGGAATATTTTTATTTTACTAGAAGTATATGTTTCATTGACTAAAGTAAAAGAGGTGGAGGGACTTAACATTCATGTTTTTCTGTGTTCACTTGTGACTCATAACGTGAGTCGTACAACCCCACATAAAACGAGGTTCTTGTTACTGAATTATTATACATTAAAAAAACATAATGTGATTGCTGTTTCAGAGGACTTTTCTCTCACTGGTTGGAGTATACCTACTGATAGTTTGCAAGATTATATCCTTCAATATCTTAACCTTCCTTTTCATTACGATTACACATTGAATTCAGTAAAAATAACTCCTTTGATGTACTTCAGTTTGAACCAACTGCAATAACAGAAAGCCTGTCTCTGAAAGATTTTCCATGTTTTAGCTAAAATAAAAAATTCTATATAGGCAGACTGCGATGGGAAAGGAAGTTGCTGCCATCCTCAAGGGATGAGCTGACATTGGTTGTTTATTTTTAAAAATATAGAGGATTATTTTCTGCTCTACTATTTGAAATTGTCAGATCGGAGTAAGGTATCCAACCCTGTGGGAAAAAAAGATGTCATCGATTAAGGTAAAATGCAGTGACCAGCGATAGCTCTTCTCTTCCACAGAACGATGATGAGCAACGATGATGTATCTCTTCCTGTTGTTAGTGGCGTATAACCCTGGGCTTTTGGTTCATGCCCATCATTAATGTAAATGTCATTTTAAATGTGAAGTGTTCTTGCTCTTTCTTTTCTTAGGTCTCTCTAGAAACAGTTAAACCATTACAGGTACATAGCAAAACGTTCTAGATGCATTTATATTTCTATAAAAGTGCTTATGCAAGTGTTTTTATGTGAGTTCAGGGAAATGGCATAATAATGCCTACTGACACAAGCCCAGTCAGTCTGCTATGACTCCATCTGTGCTATTCTTCTCACTAATGTAGTAGGTCTGGTAATGTCTAATACACATTTCACACATAGTTATAGCAGTTAACATTTTAAATAGAAAGTGGACACAAATGATTTTGTTCTCCATTGGGAAAACACTGTAGAGAAGTTATTTAACATCATAGCCTTGTTAGACTCATAGCAAATATTAGATTTGAATACAAATATAAAACCTTTTAATAAACTCTGTAGTTTATGTACTAATGGAATTACTGTTTTTATTTTTTTTTTAGATCAATGAATGTATTCCTTATTGTATACCTCTGTATTCTAATCAGTAAAGCACTAATAAATACTGTCCTGAAGTATGTCTGGCAGAGTGAGCCATTTCGTGATGAGCCATGGTATAATCAGAAAACAGAATCAGAAAGGAAAAGAAATCTGGTATGGAAAAAATTAAAATATCAAAAAAATTTCACTAAACCCTAAATTCATAAGAATCCCACTGAAAACTATATACAGAATGTTTACCAGTCATGAAATGCTGTTCTTTTGGCTAACAACAATGATGGTGTGTTTGTGGAAAGCTTGTATATTAACTTTTTGCCCTTAAACTGTATGTGCTGATTTAACTGAAGGAACACATAGTAGTTAAGTATTTAAAATGTTTTTTGCTTTGGTATACAAATCCACAAGAAAATATTTTGGGGTTTCTTGCCATTGATGACAGGTACTAAATAAAACCTAAATTTTTTCAGAGGAGTATAGACTGAAAGGAATCCCACAACTAGCGGTAATCATATAACAGATATTTATTCAAAAGAATCTGCTATAGGAATTGCCCACCACTTCACCACATGCTCTAAAATGCCTCTCAGAAGTTTATGGTTTTATATAACCCTCTAACTCTAGCGTGCTGCAAAGTGAGAAAACTAGAGACCAACAGGAGTTGCCAGCATCTAACATCCTTGCAGGAGCAAGGAGTTACTGAGGCAAGAATACCTTTGTGATCCTAGGTAATGAAATGAGCCCTACACTACAGAAGGCAAATCCTGTCAATCTTAGACATGGGGAAAGTGGGCGAAAAGTTCCTTCTTGACCCGAAATGCATTGTGAACACAGAGTAGCTAGGCTCTTTTAGAGGTTTCTCATTAGCACTAGTAACACTGCTTCAGCCTGCCCAGTAGTCTGTCTGTATCTCCAGCCAATCTCTGCCAGTGAAAAAAAATCTCTAGCCTAGTCATTTGTACATATTCTACTTGTACTGGTATTGTGAGAGGGAAAGGAAACCCTTTATTTGATTAAGGATAAGCTGCCTGAAGTCTGTATAATCCACTAATCCTTGCATTATTTATTGTTGTACTTTTGTTTCTTCTTGTAGTTTGTGCATATGAATTTTACTGTTTTCCTTGTTCACGTACAGTTTTTCACCATTCCTATGTAATCACTCACATTAATTGCTCTAGAACTTTACAACAATAATGTGTAACTGTACTCTCCACCTATATTTCTATGGAAGAATACAAAATTAAAGCTTCAAATGAAAAAGTTTTCTTCTTCATGCGCATATAAGTCATTAAACATGTAAGTCCTGTGCTGACCTCTGAGCTGTGAATGGTGTCACTTACTGCTTGAAAGTTATTAGAAACATTAATTTGCAAATGTATGTAGTCGTCTTTGAATTTTTGATGATACTTGAAAATCAATATTTTGGTCTTGTTTCTTCGGCAGTTTCTTCGAGCGTTTACAGACTTCCTTGCATTCATGGTTCTTTTCAACTACATTATTCCTGTATCCATGTATGTCACTGTGGAAATGCAGAAATTTCTTGGTTCTTATTTCCTTACATGGGACGAAGAAATGTTTGATGAGGATACAGGGGAGAGACCACTGGTGAATACTTCTGACCTCAATGAGGAGCTGGGACAGGTAAATTTCATCACAAATTTGTAACTGATGGTAAATTGAATGGATAACTGTAAGTAAAATGTAAACACTTTAAGAGGATAACAGTTTCTCTCCACTGACTATAGAGGGAGATTATGTGAGCGTCTAACTTCTTTAGAGTAAAAATCGGGTGGAAAAAACACTCTTTTTGTGTGACTAAAGTGACACTCTGTCTCCGAGGACAGTTTTATTCCAGTTAAATGAAGGAACAACCCTCTTCTTTTCCAAAAGAATTCTATTTTTAGTGTTCTGTGCTGAGAAAATCTGCACCTTGACACAGATATGCAGCCACATTTTGGAAAAAGTCTTTAAGCTGAATCTATTCAATAAAACATATTTTAATAGGTTTTAGTAGTGGTGTCTTTGTTTACTTTTATACAGCCAAACTAGTAATTAAGCTTTTACGAATATTTATTTCTATTTGAATAAAAGGTTGTACCACGTATTTTGTTATGGAAATAACTTACTTGCTACTAAATTTAAGCTCAGTCCCAAGCATGGGAACCTTGCAAGTACTTGGCATGTCAGTACCAATCCAACAAACTGTTTTGTTTCTACATTTTGTAAAGGTATTATACTTTCTATTTCTAATGAAGGCCGTAATTGAGGATTGTTGTCAGTGCTTGTAGCAATTACTGTCATAGTGATAAGGATGTTTTACTCCTTCTTTCATGCAAAGGGTGCTCATCCGAAAGCGGCACATTGTATGAATAAAAGAGCTTTGCTTGATAGTATTTTGTATCTTGAATAAATGATTTATGAAACTAAATGTAGAAGTTGAGATGAGAGAAATCCACGTAAATGCTATCCACATCGAAAAAGTTTAAGTTTTGTCTCTGCAGATAACAACCTTTGGAAAATGTGGAAAGCTGCCCTTTCAAATCAGTGAATGTTGGAAAAGTTAATCCAGGAGGAAAGCTCAAATAATTTATAACCTCAATTACTGTGAACAACAATTAATTGTTTATTTGGATTGATACAGTTGGTAAATGTTTGAGATTTGTAAACACTGTGATTAGACGAAATACCTGCCTCATTTTCAGTATTTCATTCCTAACTTTACATAATGCTGTCAGTTTAACACATATATACATGCAGTTTGTATACAAAATTTATTTCCGAAATTGAGCTTGTGCAGATCTGTCTGTTGTTCTGGTTTATAGTTCACATTTCAGTTTCATTTTTGCTGTTGTTACCCTTGAAGGCCATGGTTCATTCTAAAAGATAAAATGAATTAAAAATTGAATGTTGGGGCAAAAGGAATGGTTTCAGGACAATAACAATATAAACAATGCGTTCATTAGTTCAGAGTCTTTGTTTACACTAAAATAATTGTAGTGAGAAATTCTGTTACTACCACTAGGCCTGGGATTTACCCTACAGTAACTGACCAGATGCATACATTAAATATTGGTTCCCGGCAAGTGGTATTTGTGTGCATTTTGTTTCCGTAAGCATCTATCTTTCAGCAAGCATTTAATATCAAAAAGGAGCACGAGAGAAGAGTGAAAGTAGGTTAAACAGTATTTGTATGTGTTATCAGGCAAAAGGTAGCTTTACTGATACCTTTACATTATAGAATCTTTTGGTGCTCACATTTCCATGCTCGATGACTCCCCAAAAGAAACTTTTGTCTTCCTTTTTGGAAAGAGCCTGCATAGGTGTCTTTAAAGAAAGGTGTAACAGAGTAATAGTTTCAATTGTGTTAAGAGGCCCTGGAAAATCTTTATTCATATTCCTGCTGTTTTTAATGTGTGCTCATTTGCAGGTTGAGTACGTCTTCACAGATAAAACTGGAACATTAACTGAGAACAACATGGAATTCATAGAATGCTGCATTGAAGGGCATGTTTATGTACCACATGTAATTTGCAATGGCCAAATTCTGCACGATTGTACAGGCATTGATATGATTGATTCTTCTCCAGGAGGAAGTGGAAAAGTAAGTAAGATGACTCTTTCTAGGTTCTTAACTTGTGATCTTTTACAATGAAACAAAAATACTGAGTTAGGCTGATGATGGGAATATTAGAAATATAACATCCTTGAATTTCAGTAAGTAAAGTAGATATCTGCAGGAAATGCCTCACAACATAGACATTTTCCTATCCTAGTTCACAGTAAAAGACTTACATATTTAATAAGAAATTTCCCAACAGATTTCACTTACTGCAGCTGTAAATTGAATTATATAAAAAACAAAAATATGGAACTTTCTCTGGTTAATACATAAAGTTATTTAATGGCTGGTTTCCATTTTACTTTAGCTGCAGTAGCAAAAGCAAGGCAGGAAAATGATAAAGGGGAAAAATGATTGCCCAGTGCAAACACTGACTTAGTCATCACTGAGTGAATATGTGGTCAGAGAATGGCTTATGATCAAACTAATTTACTTTTAAATGTGACTTAATGTCACCGCATTGGAAGTGCACTACACACAACGTGTGTACACTGTGGCTTTGTTGCTATGTTAAGCAAAGTAAACTAGCTGAAGGAGGCATTGCACATTAACATCTAAGTGCGAATGGGTAGGATAACCAAAGCCAAAGGACAATAATTTGTTAAAATACGTTAATACTGTCTCAAACCACACATATCCTTCACCATGGCCAAATAAGGCCTCTTAAAATATATTGATGTAATTCAACAGCCTTGCAGTTCTTAGCCATGAGAACACGGTCCTAGGGTACGCTCTGGAGTTTTTATCTTGGAATTATAATGATGCAGTTTGTTTTGAACAGCGCAGAAGGATAGGATTCAGACCAAGATAACAGGTAGAATACAGACAGTATACATCCATGTATACATCCACGTAATACACATCTCTTTCTGGTGTGATTAACAGCCTGAAAACAGGAAATGGAAAACTGCCATTAGCAAACCCTCTGCAGCGTCCTAGGAGAAGCTGGCTGCAGCTGCCGGAACGGCCACACTCCTTATGTTCGGTATCTCTCTGAGAGGTGTTCAAGCTGTGTAAGAAACTGAAGTCTGGTTTTAAAGTTTAAACAAAAATAAAGAAAAAAAGTCTCCTTAGCCACATCTAGGAACTCAGGGGAGGGAAAAGATGCACACTGTCTTTTTGGGGCACCAGCTGCATGAATGGCATAGCACTGCCACATTACTGTTAACGGTACTAGTAGCTATTAACTGGTTGTGTGGTTATCACTAGGATACGCTTGGCTCCTTTTAAAGGGCAGGTGACCTGTGGCACTGCCTTACTTGACAATAAACAGTAGTAATTAGTGACAATGCTCACTTTCAGAAAAAAAGTTTTCAAAGGAATGCTTGAAAGGGATAAAACATAATGACAAACATTTCTTTTATTTATTAGGAGAGAGAAGAATTGTTTTTCCGAGCCCTTTGCCTTTGCCACACTGTTCAAGTAAAAGATGATGACAATGTAGATGGATTAAAAAAAACCCAGCTCTCAAGAAGGCCTTGTATATATATATCATCATCACCTGATGAAGTTGCTTTGGTTGAGGGAATACAGAGGTATGTGCGTGTGATTAAGTATTGTCCTTTTTAAATCTAGAAATCTAATCACTGAAGTTTAGAATTGTTTTCAGCATAGAAATCCTAACAGCAAACATGATTATTCATGATTATTCATAGTCATGAATCCAATAAAAACATGTAACAGAAAGTAAGCTCAGTCTTAAATGTTTATGACATGCTGAAGTGGATAATCATATATTTATCAGTTTTGCTCATTCTCTTAATATATGTTTCATTTTGCAGACTTGGTTACACCTACCTAAGGCTGAAGGACAATTTTATGGAAATCTTAAATCGGGAAAATGACATAGAGAGGTGAGTGGTTACAAAATATGGACAGACTAGGACTGAGGAAAGAATTTTTATTGATGCATTTGATAAGTCATTCTTTCCATAAACATTAATTTGTAATTCAGAAAATTCAGAAATTTTACATTTTTTTTAGAATAAATAATGATCTACTGATATTTTGAATTTTAAATAGACTCTATAGTTTTACATTTTCACTTAGTGTGTCAGTTTTGGAGTATATGTGGTAAGAAAAATGAATAAACCAACAAAAGAGTGGCACAGTAGTTCATGACCTAATCTGATTTTAGGAACTATGGGTATTTTTCATTTGTTATGTGGGAAATAATAGTTTCTTAATAGAAAATGGAAATAGAATAGAAAAGAAAATTTAAAAACAGGTACTGTTTTTCTGTTAATTTTCTCCGTAGACCATATTATGAGTAAAATTTTTGATAAGATCTGAGTAGTACAGCTGTTCAGTGAGATGTAAATACTTTTGAAAATGTTACCTTACACTTCTGTAGATGTCTACTGGTTAAGTCAATTGTATATCTGGGTCTTTCTGTTTGTATACTATGCTAGCTGCATAAGAATTCTCAGGCAGAAATATAGGAACCCTGCCATTAATTTTATCCTTTTTAGATAATGTAGGACTTTCCCAGAGGGTTACTTCAGATTTTTTGTGGCTAAACTCATGAGAAGTGTAGTCAATACAATAACGTGGTTGTTGATTTATGAAAGCGCTGTAAGTATTGGGAATTTTCTCCAAAATGCATCGCATTTTGCAGGCATAGGCCTGATCCAGTTCTTTGTTGGAATCTGTTAGTGCTTTTGATGAAATAACACTGTGGCCTTGCGCAGCTGTGAATCCCAGGCCATTGTAAGGACTTAGAACTGAATAATCTAGTTAAACAAGCAGATCTGTTTTGTAAGCAAAATATTAACAGAGATGAACCCTGAAGAGGTCAGAATTAATGATAATAACATTTATGTTGGTGCTGGAAAAAGTTGAGCTCTCCTAGATAAAAAAGAAATAAGTAAGAGACTAAATGATAAAATTACACAAACTGATGAAAGATACAGACACAGTACAACAGGAACTTGTGTTCATTTTTCATCCTAAACAGGAGAGGAACTTGAGATTGTTTAACCAAATCTTAAAAACAATGGCAAGTAAAAAAATTGGTTAAAAGAAATGTTTATTCATTTGACTAACTTGTCACTCAAAACTTGAGAAATAGTTGAAATTGGAAAAATATTAAATGAAGACTTTCTGTGTAAACAGCTACATGTTTCAAGCTCTAAGGCTACGCCTAGGTGTTAGGGATAGGAACCTACTTACCTGAGAAGCAGTGTAATGCTCCAGTACAAGGTTTCTAGTCTTCTACTTAAGTAAATTGTTAAGTTAAATATAATTATTGTCAGGGACTAGATACTGAAGCAGATCATACAGACAAACTCTGTTTCAAGTAATTGGGACCTGAGGCCCCACTTCCCCTTTTTTAACTTAGTACTTCATTCTGCAATATTTCCATATTCCGTAGTAGTCAGTATTCCCTGGAAGAATAACTTCCATGCTGGAAGTTGCATTTTATGCCACATGCTTGAAGTTGTAACGTGTTCCCTAACAGCAGTAACCTGCCTGGTTTCTGCAAAAACATACTTATTCAAAAAATACTCTTTTTCTTTTTCAGGTTTGAATTGTTAGAGGTTTTGAGTTTTGATGCTGTGAGACGGCGAATGAGTGTAATTGTTAAATCCTCAACAGGTAGGACTGTCACATTCTGTTTCCTGTTAGATGTTTGTATTTCATTTGAATTCCTTTCAGGTTTATCAGAGAATTCATTCATTTTTACCTTGGTCTGTGTGCCTTTCCGTGGCAAAAAGGGGAATGGGGACCAGCATGTGTACAAATGTTATATAAAAATGTTGGAAGAAATCTCTTTGAATGGGTTAGTAATTTGGTGGGGTTTTTGAAGAAGAATGCATTTAGCCATTTTGAATTCCATATGCTATCTTTTGTAGGTGATATATTTCTGTTTTGTAAGGGAGCAGATTCTTCCATATTTCCTAGAGTTAAAGAAGGCAAAATTGACCAAATACGATCCAGAGTTGAACGCAATGCAGTGGTAAGATTCCAGCGGATTTAAAACATTTATTGAGCTGTTCATGTGATATAAGTGTCAAGAAAAAAAAAAAAAAAAAGACCTCCTGCCTGATCCGGTAACAGTTTTGTCTTCCCAGACACAGAGATTATACTTTACCAAAGTCCACCCAGGCTGTATGAGCAGCAGTTTGTGTTACTCCCCTATTTAAATCTGTCCTCCATCTCATACTCTCAGTGGCATTTCTGGTGAGAGATGAATGCATTAGATATACAATATTGTATGTTATCCCAGAGGTCATCAATTAGCATTTTAGAATGGCATTTTCACAACTGTGGTGCTTTGAATCAACTTCTGAATGAAATAAAAGTGAAAAAAATTTTTGAAAATCTCATTCCTGCTTTCAGTCCGCAGCCTTAGCAACTGAGATTTCTTGCCTTTGATTGCTTCACAAGCTCTCAAAAGAGAAAAGCCATTAAAGCACCATTTAGCAACAAATGTGCTTCTTCTGGGGAAACAGTCCAGTGATCACGCTCATACATACATTTTTGCTTGCTAAAAATGAAATATGAGCTGCCTGATTACTTGTAGAGAAAATTCAAAACTTGGTTCTACTTGAAAGGTAGTATCAGGAGTGGTAAAATATTCAGTTCTTACGATTAAACAATCGTAAAAGCCATTGCAATGAAATACGATTGTCCGTCTTACAAATAGGATACCATTTGCTGGTATCCAGTACCCGAATTGAAAACAAAATATTATTACAGGTATATAAAAAACACCTACAGTGTTACCTGCTTTTTTGTTGAAGGGGAAGTTAAAAAGCCTTTGCCAAAGTGCTTTACGAAGCTTTATTGTATGAAACAGCTGTCTGATAATTAGAAGTGAAGGAGGCTAATGAAACTGAAAGAAGTGTTTAATGTCTCATATCCATCCAATGTCTGTCAGGAGAGAAATCCAGACCCGCAGCTATTTCTTCGTTCTAGATAATTGGATATAGGGCTGTTTCCTACATACAGGAGCTTCTGAAAGAAGATACAGGCAGCTAGCTTGGTACTTGCTCTTATAAATGGCAACAGGATACTTTTGGAATACTTCTTCTTGGATTGGTAATAAGTAACTCTGCAAAGACCTGCTGGTTTAACCTTTAAAAAGATAAACTGCCACTTAAACAATGTTCTGAGAGGCAATATATTTCAGGTGGCAAAACTTTTTTTTGTGTTTATAGTAGCTTTTTAAAACTGTACAGATGTCTATATAATCCCTTTCTTATTCGTCATACAATCCAAAAGTTTGATCTAGTCTGAAACACCACTGCTGAAGTCTAGTTTTCACTCCACTGAAATGGTATATTGGATTTTCACTTTCAAAACTCTCCATGATGTTTTGTCCCTTTACTCAATTTTCTAAGATATTAATAAAAATATCAACAATAATAAAAATACAATAATAGTTAAGACTTTCTCACATAGATCGTAGCTTTTCTCATGTTAAAATAATGCTTTAAACTCCATGTTCAGAATGATACACTACTAGGAAAAATGGAACTAATATTGTCAAGTCACATGGTCAGTTTATCCTGTAATAATTTAGTTGCCCAGAAGGTTGTGTCTGAAAAAAAGCTGAATTACTGACCTGTAATCTCAAAGACCAACTCCTCAATGGAGTGGAAAACTAAACCGAGAGGTGTTAGTCTTTGCAATTAAATCCTAGGCATCAAAATAAAACTTAGTAAGATTTTCAGTTGCATATGTTTTTAAAATAGTCAGTCTTTGCAACTGACTCTCAGCTTTATCAGCCAATGAATTTTTCAGAGTATAAAATCTTACAAAATTTAAGATGGGAAATATAGTAAAATTGAAATCAAAAAAATGAAATTAAGAATCCCTCCTTTTCCCTCCTTTTTTTTGCTAAAAGATAAAAAATTCCCATTAGGAACTTATGTATTTGTGTACTTAAGGAATGGCCATCTGGGGGTCACATTCCACCCTTGTTTATTTAGTAGTATGGTTTTCTTGCCCTGGTTTACCTCCAGTGTGCTTAGCTACACAGCATCAAAATCAAGCTCTGCAGATCTATTGTTTCTTCTTCTGACTTCTTCTGCCTAATTAGACAAATAGGAGAGGAAAGCTTTAGCTTGATCTTTGATTCTCTGGTGATCTTGTACATCCATTTGGGAGGCGGTGATGTTTCTCTTCTGGAGGACTGCAGGTTGTACCTGCTTCCAGGGCAGCACAGAATCACGCAGATCCATCTTCTAGTCAAATAATTTACTATGAAGGTGAGCAGGGAGACTCTTCATGTTAATGATAAAATGATTCAAAGTTTTCAAATATTCCAGAGTGAAAACCAATTAAGAAGTCCAAGGAGAATTTTACAAGATACCTATTGTTTGTGTTGCTTATGTTCTTTAGGAGGGACTGCGAACACTGTGTGTTGCATATAAAAAGCTCACAGAGAAAGAGTATTATAATGCACATAAGCTGCTTCAGAATGCAAAGTTGGCCCTTCAGGATCGGGAAAAGAAATTGGCAGAAGCATATGAGAAGATAGAAAGAGATTTCGTTTTACTTGGTGCTACAGCTGTTGAAGATCGGTTAGTATGTGTCTTAGACTATGTTTAGTGATGTTACCATGGTCCAGTGTTTATATATAAGCAAATGTCTGCTAATTTGAAAATTCTCCTGTAACTCTTTTTTTTTTTTTGATTAGAGGCAAATCCCCTTAACTAAACTAATCTCATATCATTAGCTTACTAAGGTTACACTTTATAACTTAGTAGCAATACGTAAGTATATACGAATCAGTATATTCAAACCATTTGCTTGCAGTTAGTATGATACCTTATTCAGCAAATAGAGAAAAGTTTTAGAGATAAAAACTATGAAATAAGTCTTAAGTAAATGAAGGGAGAATCTTTAAGTCTTAACAGAAAGTCTTAAAACTAGGAGGTGACTTTAATCACTCAGCAATACTTTACTATTTGACTTAATTAACTGAGAGCACTAAAATTGTTAAGTAGTTGTCTTTGCTATGAAGCATCTTGTCCCTTTGGCTCGGAGGTTGAAACTTTGAGCACTTTAAAAGTGTTGAAGCTAATTATTTTTTATTTCTTCTAAGCATTTTTAGATTCGCAATTTGTAGAAAATTCTTGGATCTGAAACCTTTCATTGAAATTTTTTTAGTTAGGAAAATCTTTCAATAAGGACCTCTGAATTTCTTATTTCCAAACAACCTGTCAATATATGTTGTCAATTAACTTTCAGACTGCAAGAAAAAGCTGCTGACACTATTGAAGCACTGCAGAAAGCTGGAATTAACGTCTGGGTTCTGACAGGCGACAAAATGGAGACTGCTGCAGCTACTTGCTACGCTTGCAAACTCTTCCGGAGAAATACGCAAATACTTGAGCTAACCACAAAGAAAATTGAGGAACAGAGTTTACACGATGTGCTTTTTGACTTAAGCAAAACTGTCCTAAGACACAATGGCAGCTTAACCAGGGATAGTTTCTCAGGGTAAGGAAAAATTTGCATTTTCAAGCCAGGAATACACTCAAGTGCCTTTTATAATTAACTAACTAAATGATTTTTAGAATAGCTCAAAAGCAGCAAAATAAATGTGTTTCAGTTTCTGTTTTCAGTGTGAATTACTGTACAGCAATTAAGTATAGTTTGTTTCATATATTTGCTTTGTTTTCCTCTTTAATATGAAAACAGGTAGCAAGTACATTTTAGATGCGTTTGCAATTAATTTGTGGTAAAGGCACAACAAGCTAAACAGCATTTGTGATATTTTAGCAGAGTGCTACTAAAAGTCTTAGCTTTATGGCTTGAAACTCAGGGCAAAAGCATTTTTCTTTGCTCTTCATTATACTTTAAAGCCCCATCAGTTTGATCCAGATCATTTGTATATTCCGTTAAATCTCTCTCTTAAACTTCATATTTAAAAATAACTTATTAATTCTCTCTGTTTCGTTTGTTCCACATTTAACTTCAAGTATGCAGATCTTACAACGTATGTTTAAAAGTTTTAACTTCTAGGTGCGATGCCCATTTTCTAGATGTTAAGACTCATCAGAATTTCTTGTCTTTGGCTCCAGAGTTGGAGAACGTGCATAGAGAATAGTAGCAGGATTCTGCCTAGGCGTTCAAAGGCGGGCTGAAAACCTTTCACTATAATCTGTCAAATATTCAGTGCATTGTGTGAATTTCATAATAATAAATTTTCGGTTAATATGGTATATTAATGGTGTTGCCCTGTTTCTGCCAATGGCAATAAAGTGCTGAAAAGTGTCTGCAAATTAGTGTTAAATATAGGTTACAGTAGTTTATACTCTGTTAAAAATAGCTTATGTTCTAGTGAAGACGGAGATGCTTAAAATATATTAAAGAAATTAATAAACGTGATGTTCTTTTGCACAAATATCGGTCATGGTGAAACTGTAGTTGTTGCAAACCCAAGCGCAATAGTATAATCTTACAGTATTGAGACGAGAGCACAAATAAACCTAAAAGTAAGCATACATAGCAGTCACTGCTGAGCCTGAAGCTGCTGTATAGCGCAGACAAATGCATGGGAGCTTTGAACTGGTTAGCCTGGATGCTACAGAATACAGTTCTTGTAGGGTGACGCTCAGGGTAGGCAATAAGCCCACGTTGTTCAGCATATTTGGTTGTGCTACAATGTGCTTCATTCCACAATGGCTGTACTTCTAGCAATGCCCACATTAGCTTTTTTTAAAGCTCGCTCAGGTATACCTGTGTCAGACTTAGCCACCACAATAAATGCAGTGAGTACATACTGTAAATGTAGGCTTATCTGTCCAGGCCAGCAAGTCTCTTAGGCATTTTCTTCAAAGTATGGTTTACTTACTTAAACTTAGACTCTTGAAAAGCATCATAAAACAATGTTTTTTATCTCATCAAAATAGATTTCAGAGAGCCTTTCCCTTTGAATTTTTTCTCTATATTATGTAATGTGGAACACTTCCTGCAGCTCCGTTTACCTCACTGCAGTTCTTTGAGCCTTTTCAAATCAAACTAAAAGGTCATTGCTTATACACTGTCACTGATATATATAGTCACTGAGATATCAGATTTCTATGTTCAAATTGGTGAAATGCTGAATATATTCAACGTAAGCTAGAACTAAAAAATGTTTTGCTAGCAGTTCTGTACAAGGAATTTCCCTCCGAAGTATATTAGTTTTCCAGTATTCCGTACTCATTATCTTTTCATTAATTAATTTTCACAAAATAGACTACTGCCAAATTGAAAATACGTCCAAGAATTTTACAGTTACTCTTCGTTTGTCTTTTGTTCCTGAACAGACTTTCAACTGATATGCAAGATTATGGTTTAATAATTGATGGAGCAGCATTATCATTAATAATGAAACCCAGACAAGATGGGAGCTCTGGTAACTACAGAGAGCTCTTTCTTCAAATTTGCAGGAACTGCAGTGCAGTGTTATGCTGCCGAATGGCACCTCTGCAAAAAGCACAGGTTTGTATTTCATTTCTTAATTGCTCGTTAGCTGAGCAACTATGTAAATATTGAAAGTTAATACTCTGTATGTCTTCTTATGGTAATTAAAACATTAACATTCACTTTTCTGTCTTCTAAAATGGAAGATGCAAAAAATCAGGAAGGAGGAGGGGAGGATTTCTCCTGGCAAGCAATTTAGATAATAGTATGCTAAAATGGCCCCCCGCTGTGTACCTGAATTTGATTCATGTATATACTGTGCACGTTTTATGGTTGGTACATGAAAATACTTACTGAATTGAACTAATTCCTTCCCTTTTAACCTAACAAGCTTTGAATACTGGTAGTAGTCTACTCTCTGTTAATACTAGAAGAGCCTGAATTATTTATTATGGTAGAATGCAATTTCTTCTCTATTTTTAAACACAAGTGGAGAGAGAAGAATACAGGTAGAAAAATGTGTACATGATAATTTTAAAGTACATTTTGACCGTTGTAGATGAGTTTGTAGCAAGTAAAAAGTTTTCTTCCATTACTTGAAACATCTCAGTGTAAGCTGAAGACCCCTTAAAGGAAACAAAACATTAGAATTTACACGTCTTTCTTTCTCTTGGAACGTCATGTCTTTCTCTGAGTGGTACATTTGGTACAGCATATGTAGACACTTAGTCAGTCAAATAAATATATTTAGCCAGCACTCTTTAAACTGTGAGAAAGTTTATAGAAGTTCTTGTTTGCAGTTGACAAGCCAGAGGCAATCATTTATAATGGATAGATCTGTAATCCAATTTTTGAACATCTTCTCAATCAACAGTGTTCAGGTATACTTGGAGTCCTGTTATTGCTTCTGTGTCTGCACAGAAAGAATCGTCGTAAAGGGCACAGTTGTAAATGCAGGAAGTAGCTGTTTATTCCTATGCAAGTTTGTTTTTATAATCTGTATTTAAAATGCATTTGGTCACTTTTGGATTCTGAAATTAACTTTAATATGTCTTTCCTTAAAGCAGAATGCAAAGAACTTTCAGGACCGTTAAGAAAGCAGAATATTTTTGTCTTTAATTTCAAGATTTATTTGAAAATATACACTGTCTCCACAAACTTGTTCATTTATTAAAGCGCTCACAAAATATTTAGCAACTTCAACAGTATCTTTTCTTCATTATCCTTTCTTCTGCCCTTCTTTTCTCCTGTCCATCTCTTCACTTCTCCTCCCACCTAACCTCATCTTAAAATACTTTGGAAGTGTTTAAAAAAAGAAGAATTTATGTTGGTAGTAAACATTTTTTAATATAAAGAAACTACTGTGATCTTTATGTATAGTAGCTGGATTGTTTTTGTGTCCTTGCACGGAATTTCCTATCTAACTGTGTTGCTCATATTTAACAAATTGTACACTAAATACTGTCTCATGCGTAATAACCAAGCCATTAACATCATAGAGAAGAGTTTTAACTGTAGTTCTTTTCCAGATTGTAAAATTGATTAAGTTATCAAAGGAGCACCCTATCACATTAGCAATTGGTGATGGAGCAAATGATGTCAGTATGATTCTAGAAGCACATGTTGGTATAGGTAAGTGTGCTTTTTAGATTTTTATTTCAAACAAAATGACAAAAACATTTACTCCTTAAAAATAGGAATCAAAGAATCATATTACACATTTTATAGGCAACAACTAGTGCATTTACCACAAGTATTTTATGAGGTAAAGTGGCGCTCTCTTATTAGATCAATGTCACAGCATCGCTATATAATTTTTCAAGTACTTGTATCTTTTGAATAGTTCTTTAGTTATTAAAAAGCTTCCTCACTTTTTTTTTAAAGGAATCATTGGCAAAGAAGGTCGTCAAGCGGCGAGAAACAGTGACTATGCAATACCTAAATTTAAACATTTGAAAAAAATGTTGCTTGTTCATGGGCATTTTTATTATGTTAGGATATCTGAACTTGTGCAATACTTCTTTTATAAGGTAGGAGAATGCTTATTCTAATTATTTACATCTCAAAAACTCATATAGTAATACTAACTATATACCATTTGCACAGTCAATAGTACAAAAATGTAATAATTCCATAAAGAGATTTTGTTGACTGGCAAATGCAAAGCTGAAATGGGATTACTGTTGTTACCCAGATGGTAAGGCAAAATAGCTTTTGTTCAGATACATTCTGTAATCTGTAATATGGTTAGAAGTAAAATTTACCTTTTCTCTTTGGTCTTTTCTCCCTTACAAATTCGGACTGTTCTGTTTATTTTCAGTAACTTCTAGATCCTCTCTACAATGGCTTTTTTTTAATCAAGTTGGAAATAGTATTTGAGAACTTAGCATAACTGTAAATTACATTAGTTCCTAAATTCATTGAGACAGTGTAGGCGGAGAAAGTTTATAATGTGTATCCCCCTATTTAGATGATTTAACTGTATCTAAATGTTGGGATTCAGTCTAAGTTCCTTCAGTAAACAATGGAAAGATTGTAGAAAGGAACCTCAAGGAGATAATTCAAGATGTTAGGTGTTTGACTGTATGTGCAGTTATGGAAGGATGAAGCTGGAGGTCACAGCCGGGAACGTTTTAAAAATTTCTTTGCTGGGAACCGTGCTGAGCAGAGTATAAACAACCTTTCTTATCACAGTTTGTGTTCTACTGTGAATTGTACCTTATTTGCTTTCTCTTAACTGCACTGTGCTCCTGGATCAAAAATTCATTGTCCTTGAATTTTGAAACTATAGTCTTATAAGTTTGCTTTCAAAATATTTTGAGTATTTGCTTACAGTACTAGTGTAAGATGATAATGTTAATGTTTAATGTATCCAGGTCTTCTACTGTTCCTGCAGCATTTACTATTGCTAGTGTTATAAAATCATAATATGCATAGTTATAGCATTGTGTACAGCATGTGTATTAGTGCTTATATTTCACCTGATGATTGTGTCACTTTATCTTTCAGAATGTCTGCTTCATTTTCCCTCAGTTTTTATATCAGTTCTTTTGTGGGTTTTCACAACAGGTTAGTCCATTTTTATTTGTCACTGTAAAAATTTCTGTTTGGAATTTTTTAAACAAATAGATTCTTCATGTTCTGACTGTACCTGGTCAGCTGAGAACATTGCCAGGTTAGTTTGCACATTGTAGACAGAAGAGCAGCACTTTTGGTTCATGTGATTTTCAGTGGCAGTTGAAGTTAAGTTACAGAAATTAATTGGATGAATTTTCATAAAAGCCATGTTATTTTCAAAAGTCAAAGGTTACAGGAACACAAAATTTAGGAACAGCAATGCAAAAAATTGAAAGAGCTCAGAGGGTTGTGATCAGTGGCACAGACTCTAATGGGAAGCCTGTAGCTAGTGGTCAGTACTGGGTCCAATCTTGTTTAACTTATTCATCAGAGGGACCTGGACAGGCTGGAGAGCTGGGCGGAGAGGAACCTCCTGAAGTTCAACAAAGGTGACTGCAGGGTCCTGCACCTAGGGAGGAATAATCCCCTGCACCAGGACAGGCTGGGGGTTGACCTGCGGGAAAGCAGCTCTGCAGAGAAGGACCTGGGAGTGCTGGTGGCCAACAAGTTGACCATGAGCCAGCAGTGTGCCCCTGTGGCCAAGAAAGCCAATGGTATGCTGGGGTGCATTAGGAAGAGCATCACCAGCAGGTCGAGGGAGGTGATCCTGCCTCTCTCCTCACCTGAGGCCTCACCTGGAGTACTGGGTCCATGTTCAGCCTGGAGAAGAGAAGACCGTGGAGGGATCTCACCAATGTGTAAAAGTATCTGAAGGGAGGGTGTCAAGAGGATGGGGCCAGTCTCTTCTCCATGGTGCCCAGTGACAGGAGGAGAGGCAGTGGGCACAAAGTGAACCACAGGCAGTTCCGTCTGAACATGAGGCAAAACTTCTTTCCTGTGAGGGTGTCTGAGCACTGGCACAGGTTGCCCAGAGAGGTTGTGGAGTCTCCTTCCCTGGAGATATTCAGAAGCCATCTGGACACGATCCTGGGCAATGTGCTCGAGGTGACCCTGCAAGAGCAGGGGTGTTGGACTAGATGATCTCCAGAGGTCCCTTCCACCCTCAACCATTCTATGATTCTGTGAAAGTGAAATTTCCATCGGACATGTGGACTTCATTAGGTTTGACCTCATCAGCATGTGGAGAGGCAATCCTGAAAGATGAGATTTTAAATCAGATCTTCATTTTTAGAATTAAGAATGAAAATGGAGGAATCAGTTAGTCTTCTCTGGGGCTGTACAGGAATGAGTTCCAAACTTCAGACAAAGAGCATCAATCAGTTATTTGAAAAGGAAAGATAAACACAGAAAGATAAGAGAAAGAGGAACTTCTTGAAACTTCAACAAAAGAGGATTTAATTTTCTACTGGGAGAAATTAGTACCACTTCTTTGCATTTGTGGAATATCTCAAAATAAAGCTCCAGGAAGATTAAAAATGACAGAACTGATTTTTTGATTTATTTTCCAGACATTCACTGAAAGCTTTGTAGGTTTTTAAGAGGCATTATTTGGATTTAGTTACTAAAGTATGTGTTGATAAAAATTTGATTATAAAATTTCCTATTCTTTTAAGTGAAAAATATATTTCTGAATCAAAAGCGGGGTTTTGACAGCAATTTTTAAGGCAAAAATGATCACCAAACAGGTTTTGGGAAATAAACAACCCTCTTTATGAGGTGATGTCGTAAATGTGTGCGTACTAGTTACAGTGATGGTACACATCACTGGAAAAGTAGTACTAAGAAAGAAGGAACAAAGACATTTTGGGCTGTTTTTATGCACAGCTCATTTCAGTCACCTGCAGCTGAAGAACCTCTGGAATACTCTCCCTCTCTCCCTGTATTCCTCCATATTGTATAGACAAGGAGGAGATAAAATGAGGGTGGATATGCTAGAGAGGATTTTCTGTCTCTACAGGAGTCTTCAATTGTTCGGTCTGGGTAGTTCAGAGCTGGTCTTAGTTGAGACCATAGGAGGGGCCAATATGTGGACCAGATTATTAATTTTTGTCCTCCAGATGAAAGGAGTACAAGTGCAGCATTGTGTCTTATATCATCAAGCAGCTTGTCAGGGGTATTTGCCTCTGTAGTGAAGGGGTATACTTTTGCGATTCTGAACAAGCTGACTCATTGATTTTAAATCAAACATAATGCAGTGGATTGTGCTTCAAAATTGTAACTAGCTAATTTAATTCTTTTTCCTTTGCAGCCTTTATATGATACTGCGTATCTAACACTGTACAATATCAGCTTCACTTCCCTTCCTATCCTCTTGTACAGTCTAATGGAACAACATGTCAGTGCAGACACCCTCAAGAGAGAGCCTTCCCTATACAGGTAAAGTTAATAAATTGGCTCCTAAAGTTTGACTGTTCAGTTGCAGAATCTGGCTCTGTTATAACCAAACTACTCAGGATTTCTATATCACAAGGTATAAAAGAGCATCGGATATACTGCAATGGAAGAATGGAAGATCACATGCATTGTTTATAAAGTACTGTAGATGCACGTGTATTTTAACATGTATATTTAAATACTGCAATCCAGACACTGTTCATTTGCTACTTCAGTGAGTGAGAGCATAATGCAAATTACTGTCCTACAAATTGAAAATATGATTTATTTTAGGAATATTTATTTCCTCCAGCTATGTATAAAGAGAAAACATACCATTTCCTCTATATACTTTTTTTGTGTTTTGAAGGAAAGAGGGACTGAGTGTTAGAGAAGCTATATGATAGGATATTTTCTGCAGGGTGTCCAACATTGTCCCGTGTATATTGTTGACTCATTTTTAGGGCATTAAAGCTGTGGCTGTTATAGATTTCTTGTTTCAGCCTCTTGAAATACTGTCCCTGCCAGTGATCTGCATGTGACCATCTATATTAGCAACAATGCCCAGTTTTGATTCTCGTAGCTGTGAAAACAGTACATTTTAGAGAGTGGTCATAGTAGATAATGGAAGGGAAAACATTTTTTGGGAGTGGTAATAGTAGCTGCATGAAAGGTAATGATTGAAGTGATACGGGTTCACCTATTTATCTCGTAATTGAATAGGATGTCGTTCTAAGAGGAATACAAGATACTACCGTTGTAACTAAAACCCCTCTTTTTTCCTCTTCTGTATTTTAAATGTTTTCAATTTAGAGATTATAACTCAGAAGATCTTTCATTTTGCCTTTTGGTTTTTGAAAGCTTAGTATGTTTAACAGTCTGCTGCTAAGCTGTCTCAAGCAATAATGAAGTTGTTCTAGGTCAGATGAGGCTAATGCTAGCCATATATGGCTTTGCACCATTTTAGAAGAATATTGCTAATCTCATGGGATAACTTACAGTGAAAAATGACTTCAGAAGGTCATGAGACACAATTTTTGAAGGATATATGGGTGGAAGTCTTAGTTGATGGTAAATGTTTCCAGCTACTATGTGGGATTTTTGTAAATCTAGGTTTTCATTTAACTATATTCTGATTTGTTCTGACATGTTTTATGGTAAATGATAGAAGAGTTAAATCTGTACTATTTTCATTTTTCTGTAATAAGAGAATGTATGTTAGTGATCAGTTCTACTTTTGATCAATCCATGTATTTTTTGTGGGAAAACATTCAAGAAACGCGTTTTGGCTTGAAGGTTCAACTGAGCTGCAAAATCTTCGTTATTCATGTTTCACATAGAATTAATACTTTGTTTTGCCCTAATATTTTGTATAAAAGTACCCCAATGGGAAATAAAGTGGAGTCTCTAGGGACCTCTAGTGTTTTCATTTACAATTTATACTGGATCATCAGCTGCACAGCAGGTACTGTAAGCGAGATACCTTTTGTAAAGAGATTGAAATGTAAATTGGTGCAGCACAGGAGAAGAATTAACTCTAACAGTGGGAATAAGCAGAACTACAGGCAGCAGTTAAAAGGGTTCAATAAAAATTAAAATGAAAAATAAAAAGTAGCTAATCAGGAAAGATTTGGTTGTAAAGTGGCAGATAGTTGTCTTGTGGAAATGTGAAGTTATCCCATATGTGCTGTCTCAATTCTGTTTCCCTCATAAAATAGTTTGACTGATATCATTTGTCTGGACTCTTTTCAATGTGCTAATATGAATGCATGTATCTTGTTTAACACAGAGATGTTGCCAAGAACGCTTTGTTGCGCTGGCGTGCATTTATTTATTGGACATTCCTAGGAGTGTTTGATGCTGTGGTATTTTTCTTTGGTGCCTACTTCTTGTTTGAAAACACAACCGTAACCAGCAATGGACAGGTTAGTGTTGGATTTGATCAGACTTGATGAAACATAACTTTTTAAATGTCAAGTGTTCAGTCATTGCGAGCACAGTTTAATTGTTTTCTTCAAGACTTCCAGCACAGATGACAACTGTTTGATAAGTTACGGTGAGATATCTGGGTTATCTGTTTAGCAAATCTGTATTATGTAATAGGAGTTCTGTATATCAGCAAATAGTGGCATGGGACTAGATACAACTTACGATAAATGTATGTCATGTATTTGAAGTATTCCTTCAGAATTTATAGCATAACATTTCTGTTTTGTGCTTAACATGCATCTGATGAATATTTGATTAACTTATTAACTATGTATTCAGAAAAGATCCAGGTACAGTAGCTATGAGTGATCACGCAAGAGCTTAAATATAACAGGCTTTTAAAATATTTTAAATATTTTTACATATAGCAGCTTAAACTATTCTATCTCTACTTGCTTTGCAGTCACATGAATGCAAATTATAAGGACCTTTGCATTTTATTTATTTTACCCATTGATATTTTGGTCTATTTTATTTGTGTGCTTTTTTTTTTCTTTTTGCTACTTGCTTCTCTTCCTATCCTCAGCTAATGACAACCAACACTCACATGGTAAGACTACTATGGATTTGTCATGATATTCATTTCATCTTTCACTGTTCTTTAATTAAGCTGTTAATTAAAGAACAGTTAAATATTTCCTACAACTATTGAAAAATATTACTTAAACCTATTAATGAATATGTTCTTTATTGCTACTCTGTAAGTTCTTAAAATATAAAGAACTTATATAGGGTATAAGGTGTATTAAGGTATATGAGGAATATTAAACCGCCAAGAACTTTCAAAAATAGGTAAGTTTTTTGCTTCCTTGCATTTTATTACTGTTCTGTGCTTCTCTGCAGCCTGTATTTTGTTCCTATCTCTGCTATAGAAAATGTAATTGTAATTTATGCTATAAAATGCTTCAAAGGAATTAGAAAAGACCCACAAAGTGACAGAGAAAACAAACTTTGCATAATTGTGTTACTTACCTGTAAAATGTAAGTATACATTTTTTAGAAAAGCAGTATTCAGATGTCTTTAAATGCCATCTTTGTGACATTCATCAGTGAAATGAACTTTTATTGTCTGAGAGACCATGTTAGAAAGTTAGTTTTCCTAAGGATTGAATGACTTTCCTTTAGACATAATTATACATTGCAGCACTTATTTTTCTGATACATGATCTTCTCTGTTCTGACAGTGATGTTCTGTACAAATATCGTCAGTGGTTAATAATGCAAATGTTCTGACTGGGTTTCTCTTTAAAACTTTAGCACGCTGCTGCTGCTGCATATATTGAATTAAATTGTTGATGAAGTTGTAAAACCACACTACTGCCTGATCCCCACACTCTGAAGGTGTATTTCTAGAATTAGGTACCCATGTTAATATTGGATGATAAGAGGCTTTTCTGGGTGAGAGAATCAGATGCCCTTGAGTGTCAGAGTGGTTTAGAAAATTCAGTACCATCCAGCATGCATGTGTGTGTATGTATAAAAAATACAGATACTGATTTGCAATTTTTAAGACTTGAATATGTTCATATTCAGGAATAGTCAGAGATATGTACATCAATTCATACATACATTCATTAATGTTAGTTGGTATTTATTTTCAAGTTTTTAAATTATGCTTATGTCTGGGAAAAGTCAGTGAAAGATTTCATCTGAAAAGTTTACTGCATAATGCATTATGCAACAGGCAAAAAGTAGAATGCTGGGAAGGGGATAAAAGGGTTGAGGGCAACACTAATACCATAAATGGTACAAGATGATCCAAGTTATGTTCCAAATTGTTAAAATGGGTGCTGAATCAAAAATTAGTAAATCTTCTTTCCCTCCAGAAGTGAACTCATCACCATTTTTGCAAAACTCGTACAAATTGAACAAAGTGAATGTCTTTCACTTCGATTGCGTCTTGTGGCAGACTAGAATTTACCTGTTATTCAGCTCACTACCAAACATAAGCCCCCACAGTACTTAGAAATTTGGTTAAAACTGTTTGAACTCTGTAGAAAAATGTTACTAGAATACTGGAAAAGTGTATTTTTAATCACTGAAATTTACTTTATAAATGCCTATTTCACTCATTTCCTGGTGAACAAAACTAACACGACAAAGATTGTCTATCATTAAGTTTTACTAATTTGTGATAATGCTTTGTGCACGGTGTTCCAGTTTTGGTTATGACATCACAGTTAGTGTTGTAAAAAATACAGTCAGAAACCAACTACATAGGAAGGTAAGAGGAAAAGAAGGCATTGCAGAAGTGATTGCAGATTGTAAATGTCATCCTAGTTTACCCATGTAATAAAACATACTTCATGTGTGATTTTTGATTTTAACACTTGATGCACAGTGTTTTAAATATAGTTAAGTTGGATTCAGAAGAAGGTAGGAGAAGTTAAGTTAAAATGAGTAACAGAATGGGAAATACAAAACAGCAGATGAGAAGAAAAACGGGTAGGAACATGGAGGATACAACAAATACAGTCACAGAAGGAGGGGGAAGTCTTGGATAGGCTGGGAGCAGATCACAGAAAAATATTTGTTAATCAACTGGATGTTAACAAACGGACTTATAAAAGCACGGTTCACAGCCTGAAGACATGAATAGTATCTTGAGATATTCCATGCTGAAAGTGCCATCACCTTTTGTAATTGTCTTCATCCCAGATTGCTGTGCTTATCTTTCTCTGTGCCTAAATTAGCAGCCTCATGGAGTCTGCAGGCCTTGTGCAATGACCTCATAGCCTGAGCCAAAGACATGAGTAGATGAAGGGTTTAGTTGCAGCTTGATGCTTCCCATCTTGCCTGTCACCTAGAGACAGGGGAGGGTTGTCTCAACTTTTTTTATCTAGCAGCTTTTACTGGAAATATGGACACATCTGTTCAGTACCCAGAAACTCAGACTGACGTGAGGATCTCCAAGAGATGCCTGATACAACATGACAGTAGTGGAAGATCTAAATGCAAGCAGAAAGTCAGTAAACATTGGCATAATTTCAAGTTCCTGACCAGATTCCTGCAGAGTTTTAAGTACGCTGATTTGTTTTAAGGGCACACAAAACAGTGTAGCATGGACATGACCCTATCAAAATCAAATTGTAGTAAAGTAAAATTCAGCTCAGAATCCTGCAGGTATTGTGCACTTCATCTTGTTTTCTGTACACTTGATTACGCATTCAGAAATTTTAAAATAATGAATAAAAAATTGTTTATTTTGTAAATTATTTTCTGTTCCCACGTGATCAGATTATCTGTCTCAGCCTGATTCCCTGCAGATTTCTGTCTTGTGGCTGGCTGTGATCTCCATTCAGAGTTTTTCCCAAGGCAGGGGCATTTGTGAGATCTCTTGTCCATGTGGATCCCCAATCACCTAATCCTGGGTGAGCTCATATAGAATAATTTAGGTCTGAAGGGACTTTTGGAGGTCATCTAGTTCAGTCCCCTGCTCAGTGCAGGGCTGACTAAAATCAATTTGCTCAAGGCCTTGTCCGGTCAAGTTCTGAATATACCTGAGATTCCACAACCTTTCTGGGCAACCTGTTCCAATGTTTGTCAGCCTTCATGGTAAAAACAGTTTTCCTAATACCTAACCAGAATTTTTCTTGTTGCTACTTGTATCTGTTCCCCTCATCTTGATACTGTGTCTCTCTGAGAAGAGTCTAGTTCTGTCTGGTTCTATCAGTATCAGTTAGTTGAAGACAGCAACCAGGTCCCCCGCTTAGCCTTCCGTTCTCAAGGCTGAATAAGCCCAGTTCCGTAAGCTTCACATCATGCGCTCCAGCTCCCTTACCAGCTGTCTTCATGGCCCTGCACTGGACTTGCTGCCACAGGTACACCCCCGCCAATAATTTATGTGGTTGGCCGCCTTTGCCACAAGGGAGCTTTGTTGGCTCACGTTAAGCTTCCTGACCACCGGGACTCTCCAGTCCTTTTCTGCAAAGCTACTTTCCAGCCAGTAGGCCCCAGCCTGTACTGATGCAATAGGTTATTTTGTTCCAAGTGCAGGACCTTGCATTTGCCTTTGCTGAACTTCATGAGGTTCCTGTCAGCCCAGCCCATTTCACCAACCTATTGAGGTTCCTCTGCATGGCATCCCTCCTCTCAAGCACATCAACTGCTTCCCTGCAATTTGATAACATCTACAAACTTAACTGACGGTGCGTCATGTTACATGTTCAGGTTGTTAATAAAGATAAATAGTATCGGCCCTAGTGTCAACTCCGGTAGAACACTATCACTAGTTACCAGCTACTAGTTGGACTTCATACTGCTGATCACATCTCTGTGATGTGATCACATCTCTGCCTGGCAGTCCAGCCAATTTTCCATTCACCTCATACTCCACATACCCTAAACAAATCAGACCAATATGACTATAAGAATGCTATGGAAGTCTGTGTTGAAAGTCTTGCAGCTTTTCACTCTTACTGGAGGCATCGAAGAATTATTACATTTGGCATACCTAGAGAAACTCATTTATAGAAAAGCTAACAAAAGTAGCCCTGTCAGGGGTAGGAAAAACAGCATAAAATGTTAATTCAGATGGCCTAGTAACTGAAGCTATAAAGACAGTAAATATTTACAGATAATGTTTTTTAGAACATTAATAAAAATGAGATAAAGAACTGGAGCCTGAACAGCTTTGAAGAACAGGAAAGAATATGTTTCACTGGTAGGTGAAAGTTTTATTTCTGAAACAAATGTTATAGGGATCAAAAGCTGCCATCTTTCAACCGCTGACATATGTAACATGAGTGAAAAAAAAACATTCCTGTCACAGAAGCATCAATAGAATCAGCATTGGTAGGGCTTCTGGGAGAAACTGTCAGCAGCAACACCGAGAATTACCAGTGCTGTCGTGCCTAGAAATGTTACTGAACACTGTCATCCTTTCAAATCGATAAGTCACTTCCATGTGACACTGTGACTGGATTTGCACAAATCTGTTTTCTCTACTGATTGTGGGACTTCAGTCTCCTTGGGTAACAAGTGACGCTTTTAGCAGAATCATAGAAGTGTTGGTTTGAAGGGACCTCTGGAATTCATCTAGTCCAACCTCATGCTAGAAGCAGGATTGTTGCCAGCATGAGATCAGGTCAACTGTGGCTTTGTCTGAGTCTTGAAAGCCTCCAAGGACAGGGGTTCCGTGACCTCTTTGGGCAGCCTCTTCAAGTGCTGCATTACTCTTACAGTGATTTTTTTCCCCCTAATTTGCAACCTAAACATCCTAACATGCAATCTGTGGCCATGGGCCCTTATGTCTTCTCTCACCTATTATCAAGAAGAATTTGACTACATCATCTTTGTAAATGTTTGTTAAATTATTGTGGGCAGCTATTAGGTTGTTCCTTAACTTCCTCTTCACCAGACTAAGTAAATTAACTTGTTCAACCCTCTCTTCATAGGAGAGCTATAGATCTCTAACCATCTTGGTGGCCTTCTGCTTGATCCTTCGCAATTTTTTCACATCCGTCTTGAACTGAGGAGCCCAAAATTGGACGCAGTGTTCCAGGTTCAGCCTCACTATTGCTGAGTAGAGGAGAATAATAACCTCTCTTGATCCAGTGGCTAAGTTCCTCCTAATGTAGCCCAGTTTGCAGTTGGCCTCAGTTATACTGAGAACATGCTGTAGATGTGCATTCAACCCGGAGTCCACTGTAATCCCATTGCAACTTCCTTTTCAGCAGGGCCACTACTCAGCCAGTCAGTTCCATTACATAAGGAAAACGTATTCCTCCCTACGTGTAGAACTTTGCACTTTTCCTTGCTGAACCTCATAAGATTTCTGTTGGCCCACTTCTCAAGTTAATGGAGGCCCCTCTGGCCCCTCTCCCGTTCATTATGTCAGCCTTTTCCTCTAGCTTTGTATCATCTGCTGATTTGCTCATAAATGCTCTGAGTGTCATCCTCCCAGTCACTGATGGGAGATAGTGAACAATATCAGTCCCAGTATCAATCCCTGATATAGTTCACTGCTTACCAGCAGCCAACCAAAGATCAGCTCACTGATCACTACACTTTTGAGTACAGCGGTCCAGCCAGTTTTGAACTCAGGTGGCAGTCTTATTTGTCCAGGCCCTGCTTCTTCAGCTTTCAAATGAAAATGCTGTGGGAAAGAGCAAGAAAAGCCCTGCTAAAATCGAAATAGATCACACCCACTGCTTTCCCATCAACTACATGGCCTGTCATTGTGTCATGGAAGGCAATCAGGTTGATCAGATGTGATTTGCCCTCGGAAAATCCACAGAGTATTCCTGATTATCTTTTCATCCTTGATATGTATAGAAATGGATTCTAACAAGATATGATATTTGCAGGGATCAAGATGGGGCTGACTGGCATGCAGTTCCCGAGTCTTCCTCCTTGCCTTTTTTATTAAAGGTGAGGCTTTCAGCCTTTTTCTAGTCCTTAGGGAGCTCCCCTGACCACTTTGATTTTTCACAGATTACAGACAACAGCCTTGCTGTTACATGGACCAGCTCTTTCAGCATACTTGGGTGAATCCCATTTGGCCCTATGGACATGAATGCGTGCAGATTCCAAGTGATCCCTAACCTGGTGTAACTGCTGGATATTCCTCTCCTTCCCAAACTGCGCTGTTGCATGCAGGGAGCAGGCTTTACCTTCGAAGACTCATATGCAAGGTGTTCAGTACTTCAGCGTTTTCTTTATCGTCTTTTTCTAGGTTGCCTCGCCATTCCATCAATGGACCCACATTTTCCCTTTTAAACTAGGATACCTGTAGATACCCTTTTTGTTACCCTCAACACCCCTCTCTAATCTTAGTTCCAGCTGGGCTTTGGCCTTTGTGATTTTGTTCCTTTGTACACAGGCAGTGCTTTTATACTATTCTTTTGATGCCTGCCCTTGTTTCCATTTCTTATGTTTCTTTTTTGACTTGTCGTTCATTGAGAAACTTGCTGCTTGGTCAATGATGTCTTCTGCTGAAATTCCACATCTTCCTGCAGAACAAGGTTCCTGAGATCTCAGCATTTCTCTCTCTAAAAATCATTCAGCTCTCTTGGGCACCCCTCTGTTCCATGGCTGCAATTTCCTGAATAAAACAGTCTGTTTTCCTAAAATACAGTGTCCAGCTCTGCTGCTTATTTTCCTAACAATTCTCTGGACCCTGAACATGGTCATCCATAGCTGCTGCAGCCCAAGCAATCCTCTGTGACCACGTTCACCACCAGTACTTCCCTCCATCATCATGAATGATCATTCCTGACCACTTGAAAAGCTGAAGGTTTTTTGTTTCATTATGCAGATGGGGAGAAAATTAACCACAGTTCAGAAGTGTTGTATCTTAAAATGTTATGCAGAACATTTATGTACCTAACATGGCTTTGCTGGTTATCACGTTCTTACTTGTACTGTTAGTGCTCTACATAACACACTGTTGAACCTCCACGAAACTGTGAGACTGCAAGGACAGCAGAGAAGTGAGGTCAGAGAAACGATGGCCAAGAAGACTCATGAAATCACTGCAGTTCATTTGGAAATCTCAGTAACTCATTAACTGTGCTACACTTTGTTTTTATAAAGAAATATACCTATAGACTTTGGGTTAACTGCCTTGATTGTGTGTTTTTACTGTATGTAGTCCGAAGTGCGTACACACAAGAGCATGAAGCCAAAACAATTTGCACTGGATAGGACGTATAAGAATTCAAGGTTGTTGCTTATTGTCAGTTCATGATACAAGGCAATATATGAGCTTTAAGTGTTTGTTTCTAGACAGTTTATGATACAGTGTAAGGATATAACCTATAACTGATATTACAGTGTAAGATATTACCTATCACCATCTTTTATAGATGTTTGGAAACTGGACCTTTGGAACATTGGTGTTTACTGTGCTTGTATTCACAGTTACACTGAAGGTAAGGTATGCTATATTTTTTCCACTGAAACTTTATTGGAGTTTGTTTTCTTATGGCTGCTTGCTGATATCAGCCTCCCTCTGCAACCATCCTTTTGAAGTTATAAGTTTAATTACAGGTTTTGCCATCTGTGCCTTCTTAACCGTGCTCAAAATTGAAAAGCTTTTTTGTTAACTAATTCTGTGTAGAATCCTTACCTTTTTCAAAGGATGTAATTTTAGTTCACTCCTACTGAGTATTCTGTTGCTTCTTGATAGTAATAACAAATCTGTTGTTTTTTCAGCTTGCACTAGATACACAATATTGGACATGGATAAATCACTTCATGATCTGGGGATCACTGCTATTCTACATTATCTTTTCTCTGCTCTGGGGAGGAATTATTTGGTATGAACTCAAGTGTAAACTGTATTGCAAATGTTATTTCAGAAACCGAAACAGAGTTGTTTGTTAGATATTTCACTTTTTTCCCCCCATGCAAAATTCAGTTTAGCTTTTATATATTGCAGAACTTCCAATAGCAGTCACATTTAAACACATCACATCATTGTAATGCTGATTACAGAATGCTCAGCTCTTCTTTCACTGAAAAATATTCTTAGAGAATAGGCTGCTAAAAATATTCTTGGAGAAGACTATGAGAAGAAGAATATCAGACCTCAGACTGTCACTAAACCTATCTCAGTACTTTAAATAAATAAAACAAGACCAAAGATTGGTTCAAGTGGTCAAGGCTATCAGTCTGAGGCAAAATGTCACAGAGTAGGTCAGATCTATGCTGCCAGGGGCTAGCCACTCATAAAGCATGTTTTGTCTTGCGGGGAGCTTGTTGTAACAGTCTAAACTTAGGGCCAGGGAGTGAATTAACAATGAAGCCATATGGATGGCCAGGGGCCATGTGTCTGAGGTCATTCCTTGTCCTCTTTTGTTTAGTAAGATAGATTTACCGTAAATGTCTGAGCAGCTATTTCTCCTACTGTTGGTAAGAAAATGAGCTCTTTAAGAAACAGCATAACGGCTGCCCATAGCTGATTAAAAAATGTTAAAACTTTTTTTTATTTAAAAAATGTCCATGCACTTGAAACTGAAATTGTTGGGAAGGAGACTTAAGTTGAAACACAGGTTCAAGTTCTTATTTTGCCTGATTGCCATCAGGAACTTGAATTTGTGCCTCTGATCTGTAGAGAGTTCCCAGGTACACAATCTCCTCTTTTAATCTCTCCTGCTGGAGCTTGTTCTACCTTGTATGCATGAATAAACAAGTTGAGGGACCCAAGATAAAACAGAGGCTACTTGTTGCATGGTGATTGAGGTGCCAATTAATTTGGAGTAAGGATTTTAATTACAGTGATTCCTTTCCAAATGAGTAACCAACTCTCAACTCCAGGATATTCAGTAGCATCTTTTTTTTTAATAAAATCAGATCTCAGTTTCTTCAGCATCAGAATGACAGCAGTTTGCATAAGTGATATTTTTCCTGAAACTGTCAGCCCTGCCTGCTCTGTGTTAGAGATGTCACTATTTACATGCAGCAATGTATTTAAACGTGCTTAATTTTTAGAATGCAAGAACTTATATCAAATTTTGGAGAAAAGCTGAGATGTGGTTATGACAGTATGGAAATATTTGGGCTCTTTTAACAATACTTCCATTTAAAGAGCTTTCTAGTACAGTATGTAATTACGTGCAGTAGGACTTTACAACAGCAGCATTGCTACAAACTGTCTGTTGATCTTTGTTCTCAGTAAGCATGGACTCTAATTCCAATTACTGTAAATATAAATGGCTGTCATATACCTTAAACCTTCATTAGTAGAAGCAGTAAGGGCATTTTAATGACCATTAAACTGCCATGAAGATACAGGGAAACATGCAAGTAAGTGAAGACAGGCAAGTGAAAGCAGTGAGCATAGGAGAAGATAAAAATGTGGTGAATAGATTGGGAAGCTTAACATGAAGCCATCAGAGATGCTTGGGGGTGCTTGAGGAGTAGAGGTATGAAGAAGGGTATGGTTGGCAACCCTTGCTCGGATGATCCATGAAAGAGAGTGTGCAATGAAAGAGGAAGGAAGTAATGGCAAGGAGGCTGTGAGAAGAAATATAGAAAATATCTGGGGCAAGATAAGGAGTAGATGGAAGAGCATAAACAGAGAATAAAAATGTAAGAGAGAGGCAGCTTGCGGGGGAAGGATGGCATGATATTCCCCTACACCCTGGAAGACAGGAGGAAGACAGTTCCCTCTAGTCAGTAGATGTCCAGATCTCACTTGGAGAAAACTAGGATGGATGAAATTGCACTACTGGGGCATTTCATGACTATAATAATATTTATATTTAACATTGCCAGCCTTTCTCTCATGTACTGAATTTCTATTTAATCTTTTCCCACTAGGCCTTTTCTCAATTATCAGAGGATGTATTATGTGTTCATACAAATGCTGTCTAGTGGTCCTGCATGGCTGGGTATAATTCTACTCATAACTGTCAGCCTTCTTCCAGATGTTCTTAAGAAGGTTTTATGCAGACAGTTGTGGCCTACAGCAACAGAAAGAATCCAGGTAAAAATTATTTTTGTTGTATAGTCATTTTTTGTACCACAGGTATCTAGTAATTAGAGTTCTTTCAGCTTTAGAAACAAGCTTAGAGCAGGGGTTCCCCATGTGTGATGTCTGTCATTGGTTGTTTACTAACTACTTCCAGGTGGTATGGTGAATGAAGCTGCCTGTTAGTTACTTATGTGGAAGTATTTACCTAAACCCTGGGATGAGCCCTGTGCCTCCTTACCAAGAACCACTGGGAAATCAGCTGATGAGGATGGTGGGAGATAGGTGTACATCTGAACATGATTCCTGATTTAAGGAAATAAAAAGGGCAAGGGGATGGGGGACCTCAGTGCAGGTAGGGAGGTGTGAGGGAGAAAATAGGGACATGGCCTGGATAGTTTTAAGCTGTGCAATAGGAAGCTGGGGGAGGGGAAGTTAGGCCTCTATCACCGCCTAGGCACAGAGCCTTGAGTTCTTATAGAGTATTCAGAGGTGCTTCCCACACCCATAACTTGAAGTAATTGTCTTTCAAACCCAGAAAATACATTTGCAGTTATTTTACTGCATTAAGGAAACTTTTAATATGGGCATTTCAGCATTTGCTAAGTTGAGTGTAGTTGTCTACAAGCTGATTTAGCTAAGCTAAATAAGTTAAGTCCAAATTAAAACCCAATAGTAAGAGAGCATGTCATTTTATTGAAATCCACTTTAAAACAGAGATGTGAACAATCAGTTGCAATCCTGTAGCAGGGGAACTCTACAGCTGCCTGTGTGTTTATAGTTGAACAAAACCTAGAATTTATATACTTAATACAAATGTGATGAATATATAGTGCGTTGGTAAGGACTATGTAGTAAACTCATGTCAACGTTCAATTGTATTGCATGACCTATGCAATATAATATTTCCTTAGTAAACTATTTCATATTGATACTATGCCTGTTATAAAAACACGTATTTAAACTTTATTCATATTCTCTTAAACTTTTTTCCTCCTCTGTAGTTCATATTATGTTTATTTTGCCTATTCTGATGCATTATCTCTAGAAAAAATTTCAAATATATATTTGTCATAGTAAACTGCACATGCCTTGCTGTCCCAATGAGAAGACTTATTTTTAAATCTGTTGTTACCTTTCTTCTGATCAGCCCAACAGGAGGAACTACTGCATTAATACAGGTCTCCTCTCCTGAGGCTGAAAGGAAAGCCAAATTCTGTGGGAAGCATAGTACTAGTCTGAGGCCATCAGGCTAACCCCATCTGAAGGTTTTGACTGTATTTTTGGCCTCAGCAAACTTTCATATATTACATATGTTAAAAGGTGTATGGATGGTAGAGGTGTTGAAGCTGAAACTTGCATTACTGCCCTTGCTCTTTTCAGCACGTTGACTGCCATTGATAGGTTAAATTAATGAGTTACTAGTGACTGTTTGTTGATTAGTTAGTATTCTAATTTCTATTAGAAAAGATATTTTGCATTAGGAGGAAAGGAATAAAGGAGCTTCACTTCTAAGGAAAATAAAATTTCCTCTTTGGCAAAGGTAAAAAAAATTATGTTCCAACATCTGTGAAGTAAAACCAGTTGCCATTGTTTTGCATTCCTTGAACGTACAAGAACTATGAAATGCCACACTTCAGGCGAGAATATAGCATTTCCAGGCCGATCAGCATGTAGCATTTTTCTATTTAGATATCTGTAATAGATGCCTGTACAGCATTTATGCTACTTGTAGAAGTTGCTCAGTGTAGTTCTGCATGCTTAAATTTAAAAGTTTAAAGTGAGAATGTGGATAGATTAATGCAAAAAAAAATAATATCCTGACAAAGCTATTACAGCATTTCTCATTGACGTTGTATGTTAGCGCTGGAAAAGAATCAGTTGTAAAGCAGACTTTTTGGCTTAACACTGGCAATATTCATTTTTGAATATTTAGTAGAAAATCTTTGACTTTTAACCAGATATATCCCTTCTGTTTCTTCCTCCCTCTCTCTCTTTCCTCCTGTCTTCCAATCCACTCTGTCTAAATAACTGCTACCTTGCTTTAATCATAAATGATGTGCACGGTTACTTCCTACAATCTTCTGGGGAAATCAGACTAAACATCAGTGCCTTTCTGTTGAGCAGTCCACCATCTTTATGCTTTCTCAGACTTCAAGCAGTCTAAGTTTCTAATGGAACAAAAGGTGACTTTTTTTCTGCCTTTCTGCATGCTTGGCCATTTCATTCAAAGGACAGTAGAAAATTTATCATCAGAAGTTATTTACCATACTCATTGTCTCCATTTCTGATTCACGTGTCAACTATACTTTAAAGAATACTTTTCATATGGATTTTTCCTTCTTTTGTTTATTTATCCCAAAGAACCTATGAATCATTGTCACAATCCATCACTTTCACTACACTCTGTCATCTTTGCCACTGTTATTACTGAATTTTACATAATGTTTCTGCCTCAAGAATCTTGGATTCCCATTTTAATCATTGATCTATCTGTAGGTGAATGCATGTTGTGACTAAGTGGAATATTCACCACACAAAGAAATGATAATACCAGTTATGCCAATGTTACTAGCTTAGTACAGAAAATGTGGTACTGGAAGATATTGAATCGAACTTTCAAATATATGGATGTACCTCCTCTGCTGTTGTGTAAGAATATGCAGCTTTTTTTTTTTTTGGCAAGTTATTTCTAGCATATATTTTCAAGCCAAGCTTTCCTTGTATTCCATTATATGAAATTCTGTGGTTCTTTCTAGAAAGAAAGTAGCCTAAGATCCAGAAGTATATACTATTTAATTTAATAATGAAGTAGGAAAAAAGCTAGTAAATTTTGGCTTCAGTGAAGTTTATAAGAAAGCTCTTTTTAGACTGAGTAGTAGGAGACTGTTGTTTTCCACTTCAGATTTTATATCTTTATTTTTTAACTGGTTAAAAAATACATTTTCTCTCTCTTTCTCCCTTCAAAGATGTATAGTCAATAACAATGACAGAAACTGCATACATCACAAGGAAAATACACAATGTTGTTTTCAGTGTTGAACATTTTGGCTAAAATTGGCTTGTAGGCGCCTTAGGATTAGTTTGAATGGGGCTTTTAACCAATTATTTTTAAACTTAGTGCATTCATATACACTACATAACCTTCTTTATAATAAAAAAAACTTCTGGAACAGTTGACAAGTACAACACAGGACTAGCTAAAAGCTAGCTTTTGTTAGGCTAGAACGTTGGTTCTGCAAAAGCTTTGGAGGAATCTGTTGTCTTTGAGTAATTCAGGCCAAAACCTGCTCATGTCTCATACATGTGACTGTTCAACTCAGTGCATCAATCTGAATTTTGTTCTTTAACTGGAAGAAAAGAGCAGGGGTTCTATGGGGTTTCTCTCAGCCTTAACTGTTAATAACCAGTAGGGTTTTTTAAAATATCCAAACTGCATTAATTTGTTGTGGAAAATATAAATTACCCTCTTTTCATTTTTTAATTGTCCCTGTCAATTTACAATGATTCAGTAATCCCAAATATTTTCTAACTGAAATACCAGGTGTTTTGATTGTGAGCTGTAAATAACTTCTGTGCTTTCATTCCTTTTTAAGAAATATTTTTCTTTTCCTCTCAGCTTCTGACTGACAGTTTTTTACTTCACTTTCACTTTAGTCACAAGATCAGACCGTCAGCCTTTTTATGAAATCTCTACCCTTTGCCACTCTTGGGAAACCCAAAGTGGCTCTTCTGCTTTTGGAAGCCTCTCTGGGGATTTGCCATTCTTCTGTTCCTCAATGGGCTTAGCTTCTGTTGAACAAGAGCACAGTGGTCTTAGAAAAGTAGTGACCAGTACACTGTTGCCTTTGTTGTGTGTTGGGCTCCTCCTCTTTGGAAAACAAAGAAAAGGATGCTGCTGTTGCAGTATTTGAATGCCATGGAAGAAGTTACCTTGGCAGCTCTCCCATCCTCTTTCACCATGTTGTAAATGAATAAGCTGTAAGTTGCCCTTCATTACCATTGGGCTCTGTCACCTTTATGCGCAGTACTCCCTTCACTATACACGTTGTGCTGGGGAGTAGTGAAGCAAGACGTCTGCTCCTTAACTTGGAACGCCTGGTCTGGCTGGGCGAGAACACCTTGAAAGAAATACTAGGCCAATGTGGCTGCCAAATGCCCTGTAGGGCACTGCTCTAGTTACAGCGTGCGGACATGGCCTTATCAGATTAAGGGGAACTCTGCAATTCAGTACAGGTCATTGTCGGGGGGAAGAACACATAGCCCACGGTAGCTGGTTGTGGTACAGTTTAAATACTTTTGGGAGTAACTAAGTATTTTTTAACAGAGTTTGGAATGGAATTAAAAACATCCTCAGTGTGGCTCAAAGAGTTAACATCAGGATTGAGAAATAGAAACCTTGTTTTACACTGAATAACCTTTTATTTTTTAATCTCTCAGAAAATCTGCCACTTACAGGACCTTGGTACAGTAGTTACTCTTGTACCAAATGGTACAATTGATTCACATTTCCCTCATGTATTCAGCAAGAGTCTCAGTGTTTTTCCTCATCCTTGCAGAAGAGTATGAGACATAAAACAACCCTAAATGCACTGGCGAACAACGATGGGCCACTTCTTGAAGGAAATCTTTCAGCTTCCGAGGCATAATTAGATCAAAGCTAGGTAACAGTACTGTACGTGTTGCCAGTTTGGATTAATTTCTATTGGTGAACTGTGCTATTTACAAATCAACTGTTTCCTCCAGAGTTTTTGCTGCACTTTACCAATATTGTTATAAAAGCATTATATTTTACTTGGAGAGCCTAGTATTGCAAGAGTTTTTGCAAAGAAACTGGGTATTCCGTATCCCAGGTAAGATCTTTCTGTCTCAGACACAATAGTGTAACGCAAAACAATGTGTCTGCATGAATCCATGTACCTGTATTAAAGTCCTGTTAATACACTGGGTGCTGTGTGACATCTCTTTTATAGAACGGCAGCCATTATTGCAGAATGTATTCTCATTAGAATATATAAAGTCAGAAGTAATTCTTGCTCATTAGCAGTACATCCATCATAGCTCAACTTCTTGAATACATACATAGACCAAATACAGACAGTAAAATAGGAAGATAGCGATATCAAAGGAAGCAGGTTACATGTGAATAGGACCTTGTGTCACGAGACTGAGGCTATACATCTGACAGTATCTACCATAATAGTATGGTCTGTATAGACCAGTGCATCAATGCATTGCTGAATCAACAGAGAAGCATGGTAGTCTTGCCGAACATCTGAAACAGGAGCGTAAGTGGTGAGCTCCTAAAGCCTGAAAAAATTAGGGCAGGAGAATTAAATATTCTGCTTTACGGTATCTCCTTGCCATACCACTCATTACCCCAAGTGTAAGTAAGAATTTAACACTTTTAACTCAAATACATTTCCACCTGGATGCCTCATCTGCTCCAGTCCGTTCACACTCCCTTGACCCCAAAAAGCAACACACGATGAATTAAGTGAAGGAGCAAAGCACCCATATGTGAAGAGGGAAAATGCAATGCAATGAGCTGGTGTGGGAGAAAGTGGCCTGGGCTGTAGGACTTAAAGGTAGGTAAAGGGTTCTTTTGATTTATTTTTAACGTCTACTAGAGGAGAAGTAGTAGAAAGCCCCCATTTTCTTAAGTAGTGTTAGGCATAGCAGATTAAAAGATAGCAGGTCTTGGAATCCAACATTTTTTGTGTGGAAAAACACAATTTTGTTTTTAGAGATACTTAGGGAAGGTAAAGTGCTTCGCTTTGTAGCTGGAAGACTAGGAAAAGTAGTATCTTATCAGTGTTTGAAAACTCAGGTCTCTAACATTTCCAAAACAAAGTCTGCTTAATCTGTTACCTGATTATCTGCATTTTTCTATATTAATGTTGGTATTTGGTCTATATGTGTGTTTCAAAGAAGCCAGGCAACACTGATGGTGATTAGTTTGGTACAGTTGGCTCATTCTCTTTTCCCAAAGTAACTGTTGTAAGATAGCTTTCTGCATGCTCTTAGTTGCGTAAGGGTAGTGTTTTGAGCTTGTGATTGGCATAAAAAACCTAGTATTAAATCTCAGGCAAATTTCTGTAAAGATGCATTATTAATATTTGATTTTTCTCCCTTTTTGCTATTTTGTTAATGTAAGCAGGGAAGGAGAAATGGGATGATTAAGAATATTGCTGGTATATATAGTATTCATGGGGAGAAGGATTAATAACATTGGTTTGAATAATGCTTATAATGTATTTATATCTTAAATATTGTCACATTACCTCCATAACCCTCTACCTGGAAGTTATGTGTGCATTTAGCAAGGAGAATAGATAAAGCTGATTTAGGAAAGCACTCTGCCAATTTTCTTTTAGTCTGTGCAAATGTTCCGGAGTCTTGTCGTGCAACTATGCTATTACTTTAGTCCTGAGTATTTCCTGAGCGGAGATGCTGATTCTGCCAGAATGTGGGGTGACTGTGTAGCACAGACAAATGCTAATTGATAATTATACGCAGAGAGTACTGTGATGTGTAGTATAAATTGCCTATATAGATGCCGTATGTAACCTAAGCAAGTCCAAAACCAGATCTTGCTTAAAAGTACAAAACTAGTGCATTAAACCATTAGCACTTTGATCTCTTAGTACAGAACAGTTGTAGAGAATTCTCTCTCTTTGGAAATACAGGGCCAAGTAGTTGAATTTTTCCTGTCTTCTTCAAATTTCCCCTGAAAATTTTTGGCTAAAAAATGTCAGAGAAAAAAAGATGTATCAGAAATCAGAGCAAAATGTTGTATAAACCTGATTTAAAAAAAAAAACCTCAACCTGAAAACAATCCTCTGTGTCTTCATCTGCTCTCTAAAAAGCCCATTATCAGCTTCAGAAATTGTATGTAAAATTATGCCTGATTTGGTAGGTCTTAATGTAAAATTATGTTGAAAATGGTTGATTGCTCAACAACATGGGGGGATTATACTTTCACTTGAAACAAATAGCTAGAGTGGTGATGTAGGGAGAGGCATTAATATGCCAGGGGTATAAAAGCCCTGTGGAAGGACAAAATTTTAGATTTTTAGCTCTGAAATTATCTATTTACTGTTTATTTGTTTTTTCTTAACAGAATGCATCAAGGCACTGCCGAGAGCACATCTCAGAATTCACACCTCTTGCCTGTCTGAAAAGCCCAAGATATAGGAGCAGTGACAGCAGCAGTTCCCCAGCAAGAAGGTCTAATTCTCATTCTAAAAAAATGATGTTTACGCACTGGAGAGGCATTGATTATTCAGTACTTCCATCTGTCTTTGGCTATTCAAATAAGCATTGTCGTTCCAGTGCAGGCTACCACTACAGTGGGTCAGGTTTGGAAACGTCCGTATGACAACACCAATTCAAGCCTTTAAAACTGTTTTTGTTTATTTCTTTTTTTTCAAAAACAGGAAACAAACGTCACAGAAATATATTAAACTATACTTGGCTTTTGCTATCTGATGTAGCGTTCAGACAAACAGGATCAAGAGCTATAAGTATGAAACCTTCCAGGCCCATTGGCCTCTTCTATGTTTTGAACTACTGGAGCAATGAACAATCTGCACAGTCTGGTACTGTGAGACTGATAGCACTAAAAATTCTTCATTCTCTGTCAAGATTCTTGTGCATTTATTGCTTCTGTCATCTTTAGTCATTTTCCTTGTTACTTGAAGTGTATAGTTTCAGTCAGTGACCTACATTTTGAGATCAACAGTTTTAATTTTCAGCCAGAAGCAATGACCTCAGTTATCTCCAATGAAAGTCTCCTAAAGCATATTTAACAAGTGCAGTTTCTGATTTTGCTCTGTCCTTTTTCTTTCTTTGCTCTTTCTGTAGAACAAACTGGTGTTTCCTCTGTGCAAATCTGCTTTCAAGAAACACTCTCTAATGTTCACTTCCTTGTAAGTGGCCAAATCAGGGCTATGTATGGTTTTGAGTTAGTTTTCCCCTGTAGAAAGATAGGCAAAACAATTCTTGTGTAGCATATGCACTATATGAAGTCAAGTTGGCTGTTAAATAGGTAAATATCATCAGTGTTCATATCTACTCAAAAACTGAATGTAAGCATTTTGCCTAAAACGTCTTTGTGAATTTATCAAAGATAAAAATTAGCCAGCGTTTCCACTTCTTATCTGTCATCTGGGTGATCTTAAAGTACGCATAGTAAAAGGTATTATATAGCAAGCTTGTTTTTTTTTCAAAGCTTTTTCTAAAAAAAAAGGAAAAAAAGCTATTTTTAAAAGGATTTCATCTTTTTAATTTTGATTTTTTTTTTTAAATTGTGTGGTTAAATATGGACTAACTGGCTCAGCAGAGGTTATTACAAAGCAAGGAGCAGACAACTGTTAACTTTTGAAGCGGAACCACTAGGTGGCATACAGCGGTTCGCTAACGAACCATAGCTCCCACAGAAATTAGTTTGACAAGAATTGTTTGAATTATTTTAAGTATGACAGCCAACTTGAACGTCTGTTATCTCTGCTGCATTTATGTTACCTTGCACTAATTTTACTATTAGCTCTACCCTTGTCGTGTTTCTTTAGTCCAGTGTTTTATTTTGGGGTACAAAAATATCTGAAGGATGAATCTGATTCCAATCAATTTCAGTAAACTTGCTGTTTATAGCTGATAAATAACCATAATCATTAAGTAATTCTGGGAGGCCATTAGCTAAAAATTTATTTCTAGAGGAAAACAAAATATCTGGAATCAGAGCTACAGCCTTTTATTAGAAGACCGGACCAAGACATTGTTAGTTGTCTTTGTAATAGAATAGGATGGTAGGGAAAAGGATTTCCCTTTTCATATTAAAAAAAAAAAAAAAAAGTGGAAGCAAAATAATTTACTTAATTTACTTTTTAATAAGAGAAAAATCAACTTACTAGGAAATGTTCCTCGCACTATTCCTAGTGAATTTCCTGTTTAAAAAAAGTGAAATACTGTTAATATGCCCTGGGACATACTGTAAAGTGAGTTGTGAAATCTATATTATGCCAAAGATTAAGGAAGAGAGTTTTAAAATATCTAACAGTGAGCACCACAAATGCATTCATTGTCCTTTAAAACCGTATGAAGGTGTTTTTACCATTCAATATGTAGCACTTTTCAGTTTCAAGGAATGTCATCATAGCAGTAACAATCTGAAATACATAAATATGGATATGGATGTGGGCGTGTATATATGTATTTGCCATTGCATACTTGAATGTTGGTCAGTTAGAACAGTCCCCTACATAAAACACTGGTGTATATATTTTTTTAAAAAAATAATATGGGTATAAATTTTATACCAGTAGCAGTGACAAATTTCTTGTGTGTAGTTAACAAATTATTTGTAATGTATTTTTTAGAAATCTTAAAATTGCCTTTGCACTGAAATATTTTTCATACTGTAGCTATTTATAAATCTGTTTTACGCATACATTTGTTAACACACCATTTCTATTTTTTTTAAGCTCTGAAGGCTTTTTTTATACTTTTGAGTTTTGGCCACTTAAACTTAGCTTACAGTGGAATTGTGGCTGAATGTTAAAATTCTGATGAATGTTACGTTAGAAACATAGGTCTATTGCTCTGTCAGTCTCGCCCAAATTATTCATGTTTTATTGTTGTTTGTGATAGCAGTGATTAGAGTGATATACTTTCTGCTATACTCTTACTGCTATCTTTTTATTCTGTAGAGCCTCCTGCTTTTTTATTTTATTCTGATTCCCATCTTTTAGCCTTAAATAAGAAGATTCTCGCTTGATGTTTTTGTAAATGCTGCATTCCTGTTCTGCCTACTAACAAAGCAGTTCATTGCAAGCTTCTTGTGACCCAGCACTTAGAAATTACTGAAAATATTATGCAGGCTGAAACACCTATATCAGTGCTTGGGGAATTTTAGTTAAACATGTAATTCTGTGGAAGGACGTTAGAATTTAAGTGGAAATTTCTGCTTTGATTTAGCAATACTTTTACCTTTAAAAGTTGGTACTGTTCATTAAAATAGACCATTTAAAGGAACAGGCATATAACAGCTCAGTTTCACTTGATGCATCTTTGCCTCAGCCCTTGTTACTATTGCCATGCAACCCAGTCCACTGCAGTAGGTGTTAACTTGGAGTTTCACTGTAAATGGAACAGACGGTATGAAGATGAAAAAGTAGAAGTTAGATCAAAATGATTAGAAAGTCTTATTATGGATGGGACACTGAAAGGAGACAGGTGTTTATATATTTCAAAAAAAGAATTAAAGGGGAAAAGTACAAGAATCTATATATCTTCCTAACTTGCCTTGTTTAAATTGTTGCAGCTTTAACAGCATAATGTCTCCATAACTGCTTCTGTAAATGTCTTGAAACTGGTAAGCACTAACCAAATGTATGTGAAGACTTAGAAAGTATTTCAAGCTTTTCAGCCACTAAAGCTCATGTATTGCTGCAGTGGCTTGTGGCAAAAGACTTAGATCTTTTTTGTTTCACGATGTACAATAATTAATATTGTTTGTTCGGCCACTTAATGTAAAAGCTTACAGTTTACTTTCTTGCTTGCATTAGCCTGTTTGTCTTGATCCAACTGGCTTGCAAATGTAAAAGGAAAAAATAGCTTAATTAAGCAAACGCACTACTTTTCCTTTGGAAGCCAGTGGGATCATTGTGCTCATGCTACTGTCTCTGTTAAAAAAAGCTTTAATGGAAATTTGCGAAAGTATTATGGCAGTGAAAAAGTATGTGATTCTACTTTGCAGAATAATCAAAAATCAGTTTATATAGCTTTAATTTTTTTTTTAATGTTATGAAAATACACAGATTTTAATATGCATTGTCTCTGACACAAATTCTGTGGTATGTTATACATTGCATTTTAAATGTCCTTCCATGATCTAATGTAAAGTAGAATCTGCAGAAGTGCTGTTTGGGGGTTGGGGGTAGTTATCTGTGCATTAAACATTAAAGATGTCTGTAGTCATCAGCACCAAATACTGGCATTTATTTTTAACTGAACAATTATAGGTGCGTTTATTTGAAAATAAATCAGCCTTTGAATCTCATGTTTAGATTATCCTATACCACTTCATTTATTTGATTTGAAAAGTCAGTGTGTGAATACATTACTGTAAAGTTTCTTTTCAGTGCTATTTTTAACTTTCATTTCTGTAGATAACCAAATATAACTTGTTTATATTCAGTCACATTTTGGATCTTTATGTAGAATATATAAGCAGGAGACATGAATCTGCTCGCAATAAATTTAAAAATTCAAGACTGGTTTAAGTTTTTTCATGAGTAATTAAAATAATTTAAGTATGAACATGAGATGATTTCTTATTAACCTGTAATAAAATGTAAGTAGATAACAGAAAATTAAATAAGTGTTTGATTCTTTTCCTGAATATGCTTGTAATCATGTTTATTTTCAGAATGTACGTAGCCAGCTAAAAAAGCTAGCTAACAAAAGGGAAAAATCCAAGAAGGCTGAAATGTGAACAGTGTGGGGGTTCTTCCAAAGAAAATACAAATTAGTACCAGTCCTCCCGCATAGATTGGATTAGTGCTAAACTTCACCTTTTTAAACTAAATTAGTAAGCTACACATAAGAAGATCTGTATTTCCTAATGATTCTGATGTCCTGAGCGATTTCTCCTTTCTCTTGCAATATTGGCAATTTTAAAAGGCAAAAACAGTGGGCTATTTACCATCTAAGTGGTAGCAGTGTTCACAGATTCTTACAAAACAGACTGATAGCACGGAAATACCATAATTTTCTTTCTTTCTTTTGGTGGTACAATATTATAGGACTTCTGTATTTTTGAAACTGGGAAAAACTATACAGTAAATTCACAGAATCAAACTGAAGCTCTCCTAGAGAGCTTCCACAAAACGAAAGCATTAGGTTGGTGCCTCCCTCTTTCTCTCTGAGGCTACATAGAATGCATAGGCACCTTGTTTCTAGATTTAAAATTCAATGGTTTTGAGTACTGCTAATACAGATTTTAAGAGTAATGGTTTTGAATTTACATGAACTTTTTATCCAAATAAACCAAGCATATTGTACCTGTCTGCTTTTCTGTTAGTCAAGGAATTTTGATTTTCTATTGAAAGAATTTCTGGAGAAGAGTGTTTGTAAAAGGAAGATTAAAACTGATGTTTTTCTCTTTATTTCTGAAATGAACTAAAAATGCACAAATTGCAATTAGATAAAAATATTAAGTAGAAACTGGTTTTGAGAAAAGAAAGTGATGCAAATGAAAAGCTATAGAATAATTATGACTTCAGGAGGAACACATTAGAAGAGGAGCAGATTATCTCATAAATCAACAAGTTTCTTTTGCATGTGAAATATATTTACTTATTTAAAGGAAAAAGCACTGAGAGAAAATCAGTGATTTCTACATAGTATTAATACAAGTATTAATTCCAAACATACTCTGTTTGCCTTTAGATCTTTAAATTACACTCTTTTAGTAAGTTACATTGTAGAATTAACTAACGGAAGAAAATTGTTCCTAATATTCTAGAATGAAACAATTTTATTTCGTCAGTATATGCAATACTGCTCTACAAAATCTTTAGTGAAGTTAATTCTAATATGAAGTAAGATAGTTTGGAGACAGACTGAAATTCTATGTTTTTGTTTTCTGCATATTCTGATTTCCTCACCTGATACTCTACAGGAAGTTAAAAAGAATAACTGATCATTTGAATAAAGCTTTGTTGTTGTGTGTTTCCATTAAATTTATTTATAGGTCCTCTCATTTTTATTTCATTCAAATGGCTAAAGCAAGAATAATCGCCATTCAAGGGCTTCATTTACAGTGTTAAATGATAGCACAGGGACAAGAACAAATATAGCCATTAATTCATTTAGTTATATAGAACAGTTTATCAGATGCCTAATAGTCCCCCATATATGTTTTGATATGTTTAACTGAAAATTCCAGTGTGTGATTAGTTCTGAGGCTATCTTCTATACCTGATGAGCCTGCAGTAAGGTAATGGTGGTGACTCTTAGTGACTATTTTATTTTCCATTTGAAGGAGACAAATAGGTTTAGTATTCAATTCTAAACTACCAAAAGGCTTGCTGTTGTTTTCTATTACTCATTTCAGTTAAAAAATCATGGTGCGTCAGGCTTTTAAAAATGTATATGGGGCAGTGTCCTGCTGGGTTCACAGATTCACTATTCAGATTATATCAAGAAGAACTGTTAACATCTAGGCTCCTTATTTAATGCGCGAAAACCAGAATATGCTTCCTGCTCCTAACAAAAAAAGCATGATGTTCAAAAAGCCCATCATCACTTACCATAAGATTTTAAATGTATTTTGTAAAGATACTTGACACTGAAATGTTAACATTAAGACCCAAGGACAAATGTGAAAGCTAATCCAATCTAGTAAAGTAATAAGAACTGTATTTTAGAAAAGAAAGGAAACAAATTCTGGCTCCATTCAAGACCATCAACTAGTATACTGGCTTTTATTTCAGAAAATGCTTCTGACCAAGCAGCAGGAATATTCTTCTATGAAATGTTAAGCAGCTTGCTTTTAAGATGAACTGCATAGCTGGAGAAAATTGTCAATATTAATCAGGCTGAAAGCTAATTGCTTATTTGTAGCTATGAACAGGTACTGTATTCCCTTTCATTCTGAGGAGACTATACTCGAAAGAGAGAGAGTTCACCCTGTGGTGGATTTCCACCACAAAACTAAAACTTAAAACTGAAACAGTGATACAGCTCAGTAACAGTTGGGATCTGCTTGGCTTCAAAGTGAGTCTTAGAAAAATCCAAATTATTTGTCAGTTTAGCCCAAAAGAACAGAAGCATCTTGAAAGCTAGGGCTGTGGTCTGCAGAATGTCAGGACCAGCTGCATCATTGTGTTGAATGGGACCAGGGAACTGGTCCAGATGGGAAAAAAAATGAAGGTCTTTCGAAATTAGATTGTATTGCAACATGAGTCAGGCTTCTCTATGTTCTCTCAGATAGGACCTAAAGCAAATGCTTCGGCATCCACTTTCCTTAGAGGCACTGAACTTCTGCATGATGAGGAGAAATGCAAAACTAAGTGATAACTTCTAACCTCTCTAGGTGTTTATTAGAGGCAGCTGTGCAGAAGATGCATTTGCATCCATATTTGAGTGCATGACTAGAAGAACATTTCTGCAGTTAACAGTATGTTTGAATACAAGACAATTTTCTTTCATCTGGTTCTGATCCTATGTATAGTATAATAGGTGCTTAACTGCAAACACTATCACTGTTAGTGATGAATTCTGGAACTTTGTTTATATCTACTTTTTTGTTGGGGTGAAAGCTTTTGTATTTGTTCTCAGCCTAGAAAGAAGAGATTTATTTTTCTAAACAAACAAACGAATAAATAAATAAATAAATTTCTATTTTCCATTCCGAAATCAGCACAACAAGCAAACAAAAATCCACAGCACTAGCGGATTTTACAATAAAATAAAAGTAAAAGCTGATTGAGTTTTTTTTTCCCCTATATTGCTCATTTTCTAGTAGTTATCTTGGTCTTCTAGTTACAGCAGGAACTTTTACTAGCAGCTAAAACACTCTTTGTAGGACAGTAAGTTAAACTTTTGGAGAAGATTTTTCTTAAAATTGGATTTACTCATAAAACTGCTTTTGTAGTTGAAATCTTTTTTACTTGTATGAAATATAGAGTCTTTGCTGTCATTTGCACAGAAGAAAAATTTGAATTCATGATAATGCAGCAAGGACCTTTTAATAGGCAGTGATTAAAAAGACTCTAGAAATCATAGTACCAATGCTGGCTAAGTCAGCTGACCTCAACTTGGAAAGTCCTACTGCAGCCATTTCAAGAGTATTTGAGGTCTCTACTGTGTTATTCTTATTTCTTTGACGTAAAAGATGACTCCCCATTCTCTCCTGTCAAACACGAGTGACTTGTCATCATGCATATCATTTCTAATTTAGTAACTAGTGGTTATCTTCTGCCTACAGCTGGCCCACAATGCTGGCCTTCACCTGCATTGTATTTTCTTATATGTTTCCCTCATGCTTAAGATCATTTAAAAAAAGAAAAAGTGGTGTAAAAACATTAGGGACTCAGTATTAGCTAAGGTGACTTTTAAGAGCAACATTTGGCCAGCATCCAACTGGCCTCTTTCTGGCATCTCTTTCTGGACTGTGTAATTCAAGTCATGGATGACTAAAGCCGTCAGTGTGAATACTTTAAAGACATAGATGTTTCTGAGTTCTGGATAGCTCCTCATGACAGCT